GCCCCCTCAGACCTCCCCTAATTGCCATTTCATCTGACTGCAACTTCCCTTTTACTTCTCTCCTCCAACTATTTTTTACCCTCTCTTAGCCCTACAGATCGCTGGGCGATCTCCAATTCCTACATTTACCTCTTTTATCCCCCTTTCCGCAGTTCCCCTCCCCCTTTATCTGCTCAGCCCTTCATGTGTCCGATAGTATCGCTACAACACAACGAACGAATACTGGGTCAATTCCAACAGTTTTCCCGGGCAAATAGCCCGTCGTGAACCGACAGTTTACAACTCTTAGCCAGAAGCCAGTCCCAATAAACCGATATTCCCCACTCCCCCCCCCCGCGCCAGCCATGTGGCTCTATCGGGGCGCCCAGTCCGCGGTCTTCTACTATGTCACTTGCACCCCCTGCGCCGAAAATCTCGATCGTCGGAAACGTAGAAAGGATGCTTCCCGGGTCCAGCGAGAAAAGGAGAAGGAGCGACGCAACAACGAAGTCGTCACCGACCAACCCCGTCCATTCGCACAGCCAACCCCTTTCAGCACCAATGTAGGTTGGCGAGAGGAAATCTCCCTGGGTCCTGGCCCCCCAGCCCGTCGGGGTGGTCACCGCAATGTTCAAAGAACGGACAGTTGGAATACCGACCAGAGCTCGCAACTGAAGAAAGACAAGAGTGGTGGCCTGATGCATCCACTCGGCGAGAAGTGGAAGTCGATGCGGTACCAACGGGAAGATGAGCCTCTTTGGGGACAACAAGAAGTTCGCGGATCGTCCATTGGATTCTCTGGACGTGGTCGTGCAGACCCGAATGAAACATCCAAGTATTACATCCCCCGCGTGCCGCCTGTGAACGACCTCCACCCGCCCATTGTTAGTGGACCGTGTAGCCGTGCCGAAACCAGATGGATGCTCCAGCCGCCACCAAGTGCCCGAGTGATGGCCGGTAAAGCAGACGTCAGTTCCGTTATTTCGCCCACCAGCGATAATCTTAACTTCCCGGGATTTGGCACCGCCTCCCGAGCCCCTAAGAGCGTGGCTAGGGAGAATGACACTGGAAGAATCAGCGAGGAGACTAGTGACGGCGCTATCGATGACACCACTCAGAACCATCGACCTAGTCGGCCATCGCTGACTCGACTCCGTATCGACTCGGATAGTCCAGTCCCAGAATCACACTCTCGCACTGACTCCATGTTTTCCACCGCCAACTCGGATGATCCGAGTCTTGAATGGAAATACCCCGACACTCCTGCATCACGTCCTCAATCCAAAGCCACAGATGACAGTGATAAGTTCTACCGCCCACAAATCTCGAAGACTCTATCCACGATGCACCGGGACAGCAAGAAGGTCCACATGCTACACCTAGAGATCAACGACGACAACCGCGATGAGATTGGCCTGGGTCAATTACAGCCCATCCGCCCATGGCGTTGGAGCATGGACATCTAAAAGCCTTTCGAACACAAAATCCACGACACTCGTCCTCGAATCCTTCAAATCCCCCTATCTTCCTTCCATTCAGCTTTCCCGGGTTTCTGCTATACGGCGTTTGAAGCATCAAGACCATTCAGCATTTGCTTTTTTTTGCGTTTTACTTCCTCGGGGTTCTCTGAGACCCCCCTTTTCCACGTTTGCCGAGTGATACCTGATCTCTCAAAGGAAACACCCTCTCGCTGTCGGGACCTCGCATCACATAGGAAGGTACCTGGCTGGTCCGGTGCATAAAAGCGAAACACCTTATATCCTGAAAACGATTCCTCTGTCGCTTCTTCACAACGACAAGAGAACATGCGAGTTTACCATGACGGCGCTCCTTCCTATCATTTCACAATCCTTTTCTTTTCTCTTGTTTGTTTCCCTCGGCACTTTGTGGCCCTGCAGTTTTCTCTTTTCTATTCTTCGTCTTTCCTTCAATACTATATATTATCTCTTGTACCATAATCACTCCCTCTGTTTGGGTTACCAGTACATAGCGTTCGGCCAATGGATGTTTTTTCTCTTTTTAGACATTGAATCAGGCTACATAAATTATATAATGCAGAATATATTCCAATGCATTTTCCAACTTAGTGTCCTTAGACAAGTCATCCCGGTAGTTGATGTCTTTCATCTAGATCTGGGCGATGATGTTCTCGGAGTATATGTGTGGAAGACGATGGGTATTAGCCAATAACGACAAATGATGCTGTGAAACGAGAACTCAGCCAGAGTCGACGAACATGTCAATCAACTGGCCAGGGCAACGTCGCCATCAATTGAAACTGAGACAGGGGAGGGTACAGAAGAGAGAGTGTGTGTGTGTGATGTGGGGGTTGGAAGGTGGAGGGTGCACTGCACAACTAGTTAGACTGCAACAGGTTAATTGAACTTTGATTGATTGATTGATGTTCTCGGAGTATATTCGAACGTTGACCGTTTGTCTATATTATAAAACTTAATGCACGCAATATATCTTTAATGAATCATAGATCTCCCACCCAGCAGTATATAAAAGGGCGCATGGTATACTAGTCAATAGTTCTTCAGCGAGTAATATTCCACAGGGAAGATCGATGTGGGGGGTTTTAACAATGGGGCAAAAGAAGGATATATTAAGGGGTTCGAGCTGGGCTCAGTCCTTCTAGGTGCCGTCTCATTAGACATAGCCATTGTACGCTACGATTATTGTATGGCCGAGGCCAATGATCATGCAGATATGCGTCGCACTCAGTGTTAAATTTTCGATTCAACTTGCCTTCGTGATAGATGCAATTCAAATGCACATCAAAACCTTCGTATGCAGAGAACATGTGTTTTTGATCTCGATAAACAAGATCCAAAGACACGAAAAAGTTCCAAGTAGAACAGCTCAAAAACAAAGACGCCAGTGAGAGTAGATCGTCGGATCTCGGCGTTTCAAAATTATCCCAAATGCAAACGACGCCCAACCCGGCCACGCATAGCCTCTGTAAACCAGCCAAGGGTCTAAGGGGGGCCGTATTCAAATGCTCAGAGCCCGCAGAGCACCAGCTAGGCTGTCCTTTGTTGATTTCTTTCCCTCTTCGTTGTGTTTGCTAGGTGAATGCAGATGCCGGGAGATATATAAAGAGAAGGAGAATCACCTTTCGATCTCCTTCTGCTCTAGTAGACCTTCTTCTTCTCGTCCATGCTCAATTGGCCGGGGCCCATGTTGACGAGTAGAACCAAACCACCACTGTAGAATTTATTAGCGTCGTGCATATTTGACTGTTGGGGAGAAGGAACGTACACAATCGACAAGATTTGGAAGAAGTCGTACTTGGCGAAGTCCTTCTGGGGGTGGTGGGCATGCAGCTAGACGGAATGATCAGTAACCAAACATACAACCAATTGCCTAGAAAACGTACCGTCCAGAAGTTGTTCACAAACACGTTGAACAGACTCAGCAGGACCACAAGAATGATAGCGCTCCACTTGGCCTTGAAGCCAACAATGACCATGACGCAAGCGACAAGACCGAACAAGCTGACCAAAATGCGCCAGAAGCTCCACTCGCCGGAGAAAACGAATCCAACAAAGAGGAAGATCAACAACACACGACCAGCGAACTGGACGTACATCTTGCGGTCCTTCTCATCAAGCTGGGGTAGACCGGCGGGGACGAACTTCTTGCGCACCCAGGAATCGGACAGGACCATAAGCAAACCACCCACAACACTCAGATTGCGAAGGAAGAAGTTCAAGTCGAAGATGAGACCGTATCCAAGACCCTGTGTAATGACGACGCCGAGCAATCCCGCGACGGCGAACTCAGTGCGTTTGCGGGCGATGACTAGAGTCGAACAAACGGCCATAGCAATGACATTAACGATAAGGAAGGTGTGTGTGATTCCCCAGGGAACTAAAGCGAGCACGCAAAAAGCGCGTTAGACAATGATAGAGGTAATGTGGGACCCTGAACCCTAGGTCGCGCGTGTCAGGGTCCAGGAGCAAGGGCATTATCTTACTCTTGCGGAAGTCACGGAGGTAGAGGAGCTGATCGTTCCATTGTGTGAGGATGCGCAGCGAGTCTTCGATGAAGGTCACTACGATCAGGAATCGGCCGACGGCGGGAAGGTAGCTAGAGAGCGAAAGAACAGGTTGTCAGTGCAAGCCTCGAATCCCTTGTTTCGAGCTCTCTCGCAACTCGGCCCACCACACGGGTAGAAAAAGACCAAAAACAAAGAGTGAATTTGAAACATACGGCTTCACTGGATCGGCCAAGGTGTCCAGCCAGTCCTCAATCTTGCTTGTCTGCTCGCGAATTGCGTCCAGCGGACTTGGGTCGCTGGTGGCATCTGCGCTACCTGGCCCGCCAAATGGGTTTTGGTGGCCGAGGTTGTAGCCCGCAGTGCCACGGATTTGGGCCATGGCGGAAGAATGAAACAAAAAGAGACTGAGAAGAAAGAGAAGAAAGAGAAGAAGAAGGACTTGGAGTTGAGTTCTCACAGGTTGGGGAGGAAGAAGTCTAAAACAGGAGCAAATACCAAGGAGTTGTATACAAAGCACCTTCAGGCCACGATAACCGGAACTGGCCGCTAAACCGTTTTTGGAATAGTGACGACACAAGACTCTCTATGATGATCTATATACTAATATTATTAGAAAAGCTCAACATTATTGTCCTTTATTTTGTTTTCGATCAAGCATTGGTTATGATTTCATTGCAATACAGATTTTGCCAGGTAGACTAACAAAGAAAAAAAAAAGAAACTTGCACAAACACAGCGTCAGATCCATTCCCGCAATTCTGCTTTTGTTTCTGCAGTGCAGTTCTTCCTCCTTGCACAACTCGCAAGGGGAATCTACCAATTCCGCTCCTAATGCGTTGTGGCAATCTCCCAGGCCCCGATTGTTGAGGGGAGGGAGAGTGCTCGAATGATGTGACACCTCCAGAACGCCAAAAAAACAAAAAACAAAAACAAAACGAAAACGAAAAAGGGTAATAAATACATTTCAAGATGAAGAGAGAATATGGGAGAAAGACTTCATGGCAGAGGAAAATGCTCAAGCGGCCCAATCAGAGTCCAGTGGGTGGCCCTTCTCACGCGAGCGCAAGATATCGGGGAGGTAGGTTGGGGTCACGGTCACACGAGGCTCAATGGGGGCAGGAGCGACAGGAGTAGACTGGTTCTCCGAGGCACTGGTCTCGCTGACACTCTCGTCAGACTTGCCACCCTTCTTCTTAGGCTGCTTCTTGGAAACGGTGGTCCATTCGTCATCGCCGTTGGCAGCTCCCAAGAGGCGCATCTGCTCCTCTTCCGAGGGAAGGTTCTGAGCCCACTTAGTAGGGGTAGGGGCAGCAGGGGACTCGAATGTGTCCAGGAGACCGTGAGAGGCGGGAGCAGGGCGGGATCCGCCATTGACCACATTGGTCTTCACCGGCGCAGTATTCTCCTTGGTCTGCCAAGCGTTGGCAGCGGGTGCGGTTGATCGGGCAGCCTCGCGGCGCTCAGACTCGCGAGCAGTGTGCAACTGCTTCTCAAGCAGCTTCTTGCGCTCCACCTCAGCCTCTTGAACCTGCTGCTTGCGGGCCTCGTTCTTGAGACGCTGCTGGCGCTGCTTCTTGGTCTCCACCTCTTTGAAAGTCTGGACCTTCTGCTTCTTAGGCTGGTTCTCAACATTGCCAGTAACGCGGAGCACAGATGCACCAGGGGCGGGAGCCTCCAGCATGTCGGAAACATATCCGGCCGAGGGGACAGTGGCGTTCACCGCGGGGGACGCGGCGGGAGAAAGATCGTCATCAGCCTCAGCGCCAGTGGTCGAAGAAGCACGGGTGTCGCTGGTCTCGAGCTGGGCAGCCTTCTTCTTGTTCTTCTTCTGACTCTTGGTGGGAGCGGGCTTGGCGGGAGCGGGCTGAGCAGGGGCGTTGGTCTTGAGGCCGGCCATACGGCGGGCCATCTCCTTGCGATCGATTTCTTCATCTGGCTTCTCGTCCTCGGTGGTGGGGGGCGAGACGACGGTCTGCACCTCGGATTTCTTGGCGGCAACCGGCTCGGGAGCAGGCTTAGACTTGCGCTTTGACTTCTTGGGTGCTACAGTGGCCTCGGTTTTCTCCACGGCAGCTCGAATCACGTTGGCCTTGGGGGTGGTGCCATTGGTGTAGTACCAGCCGAGGCCACCTGCCACGACGAGCAAGATTGCCCAGCTAATGTAGGGATTCATGGTCATAGAGCTGTGCACTCATAAGTCAGTACCATCAACGTTGTCATGATGGTTGCTAGCATGGAACTTACTGTCCGATTGAAACCTATGTAGGCGGAGGATGGGTGTTGATTGAGAGGGGAGGTAGGATCAAAGTTGCGGGATGATAGGGTAGGACAATTGCGCACGCGCACTTTGAAATTGACGCGCACCGAAAGCCGAGACAATTGCGCTCTCAGCTACAGAAGCTTTGCCCGAAGGGAAGGTCAAGACGAGACTCCACGTCGGTCAATTGACCGGAGTGCGGAGAGGATGCGCGGGGTGACGAAGCCGCGGATAGGAGTGATAGGAATAGCGCAATGGCGCAAGAGGAAGGTAGGATAAACAAGAGAAGAAGTTGAAGAGAGTTGAGGATGGGAAAGGAGGAAAGGCGAGGAGTAGAGGAAAGGGCAACCGTGGCAGATCCACTCGTACCGTGACCGTAATGGTAAGTTACCAAGCTCTTGGCTTTGGAATTGCACATATTCTGTCCCTTGTCTACTTGGCGTCTTTTCATTTTATTTTATGTCTTAAAACATTGTAGACTTCATATATCATCTCAGTGTCGACTTGGTTTTCTACTGTACCGTACATTGGTGTTCAGGGACTGAAGAATGTGATGTTCATACGGAGTATGGAGATTTGAGCATTGCCGTACTGCAAGCTGTCATCATATATTCAAATGTAGTACCTGGGGAACAGTGCTCTACCCTACAAATGGATGTGTACTACATGTGTAATGTAACAATGTAACTAATATTCAGGCTAGTTAACTCATAGCTCCAAGAGATGACATGACTTTCACTGGGCGAACAGGCCACGTCTCCGCCTGTCTTCTCTCCGCTTTCTACGTTCTAAACCGATTTATATCTTACTAGCGCGTTCTGGGTAGACCTCCTGAGCATTTCTTTGATATTGATTAATCGATTTTTCCGGGAGCCGGGAAGCTTGGGGATTGCCGATCCGGCAATCTCTCATCAAATGTTCTTTTACCCCTTACAGTAGCCCTCACGCTCGCCACGAGGAAAGGAGATACTAATAACAGACAACCCGCCCGGTCCAATTGGTGGCTCAAGTCATGCATTTGATGCCCGTGAAGCCTGTCGAATCCTGGTCAACGAGTCTAAGACCTGCATTATGCAGCGGCACCTTGAAAGAAAGGCTGGGATTGGTTCGCTGGTCATGCACTCCTTAAAATGCAATCAGACTAAGTCTTCGACACCGGACTAGTTCCTTACTCCTTTGTGTCCTATTGGTTATTCCGTACTCCTTATATTCTTCTTTGTTCCCTTTTGCCTCGTGTTCCGTTATTTTTCCAAGACTGGCCAGGGGCATACGATTCCTCTGACCGACTGACTACTAAGGTCCATGAAGCCCTGGAGCCATTGTGACTTCTGCTAATAGCCCTTCTATTGGTTTTGATTGTTGTAATAAATATATTCGAAATAATCTAATTATATAGGCTGAGTTATGCAAATACAAAAATCTATGAAGGTAAAAGCTAAGAGTATACATATGTATGAAATTGAATTAAAGAAGTGAACATGTCCACCTCTGATCCATTGAAAGTCATTCCCAAAGCCTCTCGACTGGTATGGAGTTGTGCCAACACTGAAAGGAAGGGTTGCCGATAAATCAGAAACAGCGAGCAATATCGCAGGAATATATCAAGCGGGGCATATTCGAACGACATCTAGATTCGAAATTGCATACATTTGCCTCAAGATCCCAGGCTCCCTCGGGGCCGCGCTCGCAGGGTAACAGGGTTCCCCACCCAATAGATCTTCGTAAAATACTTGGAACGTTTTATCTTGACTTCTAAAATCTTGACTTCTAAAATCTTGACTTCCCACTCCCTTGCTGTGCCTTTCAAAACCATTGCCGAAGTCACAATAAAGTTCCCTAGAGGCGACATAAACGGTAACCATGCATCAAAACACAGAGCTCACACCTAGTGCATCGGCCAAAGATGCCGAGATTGAGTCGCCAATCCCATCTGACCTTACTCCCATTGCTATAGCAGCTCGAGGGAAAGAGATCACTGGCCTGAGAATCTTTCAAAGAACGGCAGATGATATCACGGGGACTAGGGCAGAGGAGCTCCTTTTAGCAATGAACACTGACCAGCCAACCGGAGGCGTGGACATGACATATGGAAGCGGGGACGCTCAGCATCTCCGCTATTGGAAACCCAACCTCCCCAATGCTCCGATCGTCCTCTTTGTCCACGGGGGCAGTTGGCGATCAGGGACCTATTTGGACTCGATTGGATCGGCCAAAGTTACTCATTTGACTGGCCAAGGCTATGCCTTCGCCACTGTCAACTACACACTCATCCCATCTGTGACGGTGGAAGAGCAGGTGCAGGAGGTGGCCGACTCGTTGGCTTACCTGGTCAGAAATGCGGCAACACTAGACTTTGACTCCCAACGAATCATTTTGATGGGACACAGTTCTGGTGCACACGTTGTCACACTACTGGGGACTGACGAAAGATACTTCGAGAAGGCAGGAGTTGGTATCCATATCGTGCGGGCGGTTATCTCTCTCGACGGCTCAAATTACAACGCATTGGCGGAGATCACTGATAGTCCGGGGCCGGTAGCGGGGAGCACAATCAGAGGGCTCGGCACTGATCCGAAACGGCTGAAAGATATGTCACCTACTTACCATGCCCGCGCGCCGAACGCAGGCGCTTTTCTGCTCCTTCAAGTCCACAGGCAAGGCGACATCCGCCAGGCTGTCGAGCTATCCGTGGCACTAGAAGCTGCAGGTACTGATGTTGCTTTCCACGTGTTCGAGGGCGAAAGTTTCGAGGGCCACATGCAAATGCTACTACGGCTTGGCGATCCCAGCTATCCTGCAACATTGGTTATGGATAACTGGCTCAAAGTGCATGTTCCAGTAACCCTCCCAAGTGCCTGATCACCTTCATCCCTCCAAAAGTGCCTCTAGAGAGATCTCCCGAGGTTGAATCTCTCATCTGGTTGGGCACAGTGAGGCTCGGATTGATAACAGAGGGTTGGGTTGGCAGTCCGGGGGCCGTCGGTCACCGGGATTGCAGTCCTAAGCCTGGATTAATATGTTTTTCTTCAGTCTGTATATATATCATGATCCCCGTCGCTTAGAATCGGAATACAGCTTGAATATTATTTTAATAACAGTGGACTCTCTAATATAACCCTTGAAGGTGTTATATGAGTTGCCTACGAGGGGTAAATAGCCAGACGAAACCCCCGCAGCTGATAACGTTGATAAGCTCCCACTTCTGTCATTACCAACATTTGAAGGTTAACAGCATTCACCATGGGAAAGAAAATTATTATTGACACTGATCCTGTATGGTCCTTCAAATTCCATTGATATATCTTCGGTATTGACCATAGCACAGGGCATTGACGATGTCCTCGCTCTTTTGCTGGCTCTGTCCGCCACCCCAGAGGAGGTAGAGGTTCTCCTCATCTCATTGACATTCGGTAACATCGAGGTGGAGAAGTAAGAGATCCTTTTATCTGGAAAATTACGTTGTCTGACCACATATCTAGCTGTCTCCGCAATGCAGTGTCAATGTTCCACATCCTCGAGCGGGAGATGCAGTGGCGTCGTGAGAACGGCCGGCCTGAGGGCTTTGGGAGCTTGAAAGCTTCCCGTCCTATATTAGCTGTCGGTGCAGAGGACCCCCTTGAAGACCAGAAAATGCTTGCCGATTACTTCCGTATGTATTTCTCTACCATACTATAGATGCCGTTGACTGATATACCCGCAGATGGAATCGACGGACTTGGTGGTATTCACGCAACGGTATGTGAAGCCCCATATGAAATCAGGCTTTTGCTCCAGCCTAGAAACAAGTAATACATACTGAACTCTAAATAGCACCCACATCTTACCGCTAATAAGGCATGGGTGCACCTCTTCGCTAAAGAGATGGAGGGTGAGGGAATCAAGCCTGTTGAAGATTGCTCAGGTTCCGACGGCCACGCATTCACTCCATCCAAGCTTCCGGCATATAAGGAGATTCTCCGCGCGCTTCGTGATAATGAGCCAGATTCAGTGACTCTGGTAGCAGTGGGCCCGCTCACTAATCTGGCATTGGCTGCAGCAGAAGACCCAGAGACATTCCTCCGCGTAAAAGAGGTGGTCGTCATGGGTGGTGCTATCAACGAGCCAGGAAATGTGAGCCAAGCCTTTTCCATAACAAATATCGAAATATCGAGACAGATTGACTGATTTTGTTAATAGGTGACACCAATGGGCGAGTTCAACGCCTACGCAGACGCAGTGGCAGCCGCGCGTATTTTCGCACTCACTTCGCCCAACCCGCAAACAACAGTCCCACCCACAAAGAGCGACAAACTCCCACCGTACCCTAAAAATCTCAGCCGGCAGTTGACTCTGCGTCTTTTCCCGCTGGATATCACTCTCCGCCACAATCTATCACGCGGGCAGTTCCGGGAGGCCATCACACCTCTTCTGGCTGCTGGCTCCCCGCTCGCAGAGTGGGTGGATGCCTTTATGGGGCACACCTTCAGGACCTTGGAGCGCCTGCACCCTGGACATGTTGGTGATGATGCCATGCTGAGTCTGCACGACCCTGTGTGCGTCTGGTATGCTTTGACATCAGATGACCCAAAGTGGGTTTACTCGGCGAACTCGCCCGAGGATATCCGAATCGACACCCTGGGCCAATGGACTCGGGGTATGTGCGTTGTCGACCGCCGCAACCGTCACCGCATTGAAGGTGAGGAGGAGAGCTCTAATGACCATGGTCTCTGGCTGAGCGGCCGTGCTGGAAATCGCATTTGGCGGATGGATGGGTCGCCTGGGGAGGAGAACTTTGGCAATGTCATCATTGAGAGACTATTCAAGTGATATCCGTCAGATAAAGGGGAACACATTTGGTGGGTATAGACGCATATAGCTGTTGATTTCTATAGATATTGAAATATGCTTTCTCTTTTAGACCGAGAATATTCCCCAGGCAATCTCGAACCTTATTTGCCATAGCCGACCTATATATGGGTACGTAAATGCTTGCGGGTTATGGGTTAATGAAGTAGATAGCGACTTGGTGAAAGATCTGGGTGTACTTTAGAAATTTTGGAGCCGACATCCCAGTGCATGGGCTAGTTAATGTCATTCGCATACCTATGTACCCAGGTACATATATATGTAGGATTCAGCGGGTGTGTCGTCTCACGTTCTTTCCATATGAGTGTGTTATGAGGTAATTAGAATTATCTTTCCAAGGAGTGACGTCCCCACCTGCGAGTAGTGCAATCCACCACCAGATTCAGAACAGCCAAATGGCTAGAACACCAGATGATTCGACCTTGGTTAACACATGAAGTCAATTATCAAATTGTGAGGTGAGGTGGGGTTCTCCAGAGCGCACAGGAATATGGAATGTTCATAACTTTGGGATCGACCGTGGCACTTACTGTTATATTCCTATCAAACTCGGCAATATGCATCGATGCACAATCCAGGAGGCTTTCCCCAGGCAGCTCAGGGGTTGACAGCCAACCCCCAGATCATTGAAACCGCCAAGCCGTTTCATTATAAGACGGGTCGGGCTAGTGATGATACTTTATAGCAACTGATTTTACCTTGAATCTCAGCATCAAATCAATTCCCAGGGACCATCCGCCTTCCTGAATTTGTTCTTATTCTTCATATAATTCTCCGCACTTTACAACATGCAGCTTACAACCCTATTCACTGTCTGCATGGCTAACCTGACCAGCACCGCCGCTGCAATGCCTCGTCTCTCCGGGGCGTACCACGGTGCCCGCATCTTTATCCGTGTCCCTGCCAATGCATAATGCTACTACAACGGGTACACGGGGCAAACCTCCCCTTTGGACGGGATCATCTCACATGAATCGCAATGCCAACCGCTGTCATGAGCTATGCTCGTTGCAGTCTCAGACTTGCTCGGTTGCTGTACTGGACGATGATAAGTTTTGGTGAGTTTCCTGTCTTGTCTTTGGACATTGTTTTTCTTTCTTTCTTTTCTTTCTTCGTGAATTGGGTTAACATACTGTTTCTAGCTGGTCAATTCACTTGCAATGTACGGAAAAGTGCCACCCCGAGAATTTCTACAAGTAAATAGAATTGGATACGGAAATTATTTGGGCAAAAGAGATCGTTAAGTGTTATGGACCATGTGATATGAATGAAGGATTGTTTTTTTTTTATACATAAAAGTGAATTGTGGGTCTTCATTGCATTTTCTCTTGTCTTTAAAATTATTTAGCCATAAGCGTCACCAAATTTACTCGTATATGCAGGCCAAAACACTAAAAATAAAATGTCGGGGTTATGCCTCTAAACGTTGAAACATTCGAATCCGAGCTCAATGTGGTTCCACAATTTGACGACGACAAAGCGCGGCGTCCCCAGAGAGGAAGCACGTGCCATATGTGGATGAGTCGAGAGGAAGCGGGTACCCGAGGAGTGCACGGAGTAGGGAGTAGGAGATGAATGCTCTAAAGGAAGACTCTCAAGTTGTAACCGTGGCTTGAAATAAATATAGGACTTTCGTAGCCAATAGGAAAGATATAAAGGTGTACTGTCGCAAAAAAAGGCACATGCTCTCGAAGCATAAATGTGCCCAGGTGAGTCCGTGTAATTATCGAGAGCAAGACTGTCCTCCAATTGATGCACGTGCTGGGCTACCTCAATTGATGTAATGGGTACCAAGTACAATGGGATAAGCCCATTATCTCACTGTAAATTAAGTACTTAGTACCTACAGATAAGCTCTCCACGCCCCACTTGATACTCCAGCAAATGCCCGTTGTTCCCTGAGGCACGAGCCTCCGCTTTGACCAATCAGCGTCGTCTATTGTAGCTCGTGGGCACAACGTTTGGAAGCACGCGACACTATCTATAACCTGGGAAGCCCTGGACGACGTTCACGGTTATATAGTCTGCAACCCCTTGCTGTACAACTCTACTATTCGCAACTTCCCCCTCTCCTTTTTTAACAATGTCACGCCTTCCAACCCCAGCAATGTCGGGTGGCTTCACCATCAAAGACAAACCCGACGGGGATGCCTTCACATTACCTCCCGCCGCATTGAGCACTGGCAGTCGGAGGTCTTCCCGATCAGACCCTTCCTACATCCCAGCATCCCCGACATCCCCAGAACTCTCTGGCCGCCGTACAAGTCAAACCGCGCGGTCGGGTACATCTATCAAACGCCCACTCGAGGACTTTGATTTGCCTCCGCCACCAACTAGAACTCGCAAGATCATCCAGATGAAACCAAAGTCACCTTCCAAAAACCCCAAGACAAGGGAAAATGGCAAGGGTTCACAGAGTTCAGAAGACGCAATGCCAAACCCCACATCGAACTCTAAAAGAAAACAGCCAAGTGCCACTAGTGCCGCAGGACGCAAGATCGCCCGCAAAACCGCACACAGTCTAATTGAGCGTCGACGACGGTCCAAGATGAACGAGGAGTTCGGAACGTTGAAGGATATGATCCCGGCATGCACCGGGCAGGAAATGCATAAGCTGGCCATTCTTCAGGTACACCAGTCACATCTCTTTTGGGAATCTACAATATACTAACTATCCTGACAAGGCCAGCATTGACTATGTCAATTACCTAGAGAAATGCATCCGTGACATGAAGACTGGAGGAATGCAAACCCCTGCTGCACCACCCTCACCAACATCTCCCGAGTTCATCCCAGAGGCAGGTGAGCCCATGCAAATGGAAAGGGAATGTTATTCTACTTATTCGTATTCCACCTCTGCATCACCGGAGCTCTACGCTGCTCCCACAGAATTTCCTGATACATCCCCGTCTTTCTCTCCACGCACCCAAGTTCCCTCAGCCCATATCCCACAGGATGCTTCATCTATCCTTCCTAGTCCGGCACTGGGCCCAATCTGGGCATCCAGCGAAAAGATGGCTGAGTTCCAGGGAGTTGATCACGAGGCTTCAGCTGCCTTGCTCATGTTGACTCAGGATCGGAGAGGGACTGCTGATTCGATCAGTGAGAACTTTCCTGGAAGCACGACACTGGCACAGTCTGTGGAAGATACCTCAGCTGTGCCTTCTGAGATTCAAAGGAGGAAGGGCATGAGTGTCCGCGACCTTCTTATTTCATGATCTCACCACTTGGTTTTTTTCTTTTTTTTTTTTTTCTTTTTCCTTTGGGACATTGGTGTCTAATGCTTCTGGAAATGGCGCAGAGGCTATTTTATTAGCGTTATCTATACTTAGCATCGTTTTCAGGATTGTACTCGGTGGACCAATGTTTACACGTATTGATGCGTGTGTTTTGTTACTTGCCCAACCTATGAAGGCGAGATACTTCAACTCAAGATGACATGTGAACAGAAAGTGGATAAGATTGATCATAAGGATCTGGGGGCTATTTTGTTCACAACATAAATTATTTAATTATTTGATTAAGACAGGAGTTCTGATGGATAATTTCCAGATGAATAATTCCCAATTGCCAATTACGGTTTCGCCCCCACAAATATCGGGCCATCGGCAATTCGCGAATGACCGAACACCGAACTTCCGTCATTTAGAGTCCGATAGTTCGTGACTCGATCGCTAACATATTGCAGAAGCTGAGGATCCAAAGAAATTCTCCTCAATCTTGTTACCAAAAGCTCTTTCAATTTGCGCTGGCTTCCCTGTAGCTGTGCCAAGATAGGACCATGAATCACCAACGCCGGTATAATGTAGAGCGCTCATGCCTACGCTGCCACGAGCACAAGATCAAGTGCGACAAGGGCACACCATGCAGCAAATGCATGCGACAGAAGGTGGCCTGCCAGTATCCAGGTCCGAGCCGAATCAAGCGCCAACCTCCGAAGAAGAGCACAGCCGATGTTGCGGCACGGTTAGAGCAGCTTGAACAGTTCATCACGACGATGGTCAACGAACGAACGACTAGCTTGAACAGTCAAAACCACGGCCCAGGCACAACATCATCGATGCCGAATGGCCGATCCGACTACAAGCCACCATCAAACCACCCAGCTACAGCGGACCGTCACGCCTATCTTGGGTTCCTTGACAAAGACGGCCGGTATATCAATGAGCCTTTCCTCTCGCGGGTACTGGAGAAAGAACAGGAACTAAAGTCCGCAATTGGATCACCGATTGATGCAACTAGTCCGCGCCGACTACCGGCATTGAGGGCAGATGGCCTCTTCAAAAACCCGCTCTCGGCTCAGATTGACGCCCAGGAGCTGTTTCCAAGTCGCTGGGAGGGGGTTTTTCTCTGGCAGACGTTTCTCAGCCGTGTGGAGCCCATGGTAAAGGTCATTCACGTTCCAACTGCGCAATCGCACATCTTTGCTACCATTAACCGACCCGAGAGTGTGCGTGCTGATCTACGTGCTTTGGTCTTTGCTATTTGTTTTGCCGCTACAACAACGTTGCTTTCGGATGATACTCAGAATGAAGATCGGCATGCCGACCTGCGCCGATATCAACAGGGGATGGAATTGTCTTTGTATCAGTCCGAGTTTTTGGATGCTCCAACTCTTATTTCGCTGCAAGCGATGGTAATATATCAGGTGAGAGAGTGTTTCGTTAACTGTCCTTAGCCCTTCCTTTGCTTTGTATCACTAACATATATTTGGTTTCTAGACATGCTTTCGATTTAGCAATCCCGGCCGGTCTGGCTGGACTTTACACGGCGTAACTATTCGAGCCGCACAGTCAATTGGCTTCCAACGAGATGGAAAAAACTTCAAACTTCCACAATTGGAATGCGAGCTACGCCGACGAACATGGGGGCATATCCAATCGGCCGATAGTCGAGTAGCAGAAGACCATGGGCTTAGCGTCCCGGAAAGCGACTACGGCGACACCGAACTCCCGCTGAATATCGATGACCAAAGCTTATCAGAGACGAACACCGCCCCAGCCGTATCGCAGAACCGATGGACCGAGATGACATTCTCTCTAATCGTAATCGAAATAAACCGGGGGAGGCCTGCTCTACTTCGAAGCATAGTGGGGGCAGCCGATCCAGAGCGACTCATTGCCGAGTTTAAAGGCTCGATAGAGGATAAATACCTGCGACACTGCGACCCAGACATCCCGGTCCAGCGCTTTGGCTTCCTGCTCGGAAAACTACTTCTCATAAAGACCGAAGTGTGCGTTCGACAGAAACAGCTACAGTCACAGGGATCAGCGGCCTGCTCGTTAAACCATCATATTGTCCAAGAGATGCTAGCGAAAGCTTGCGATGGCGTGGAGATTGGCCTCGAGATGCACAACAACGAATTACTCCGCGGCTTCCGTTGGCTGATGATGACTTTCACCCAATACCACCTCATCACCTACATTCTCTGGGTTCTGTGTGTTTATCCCACCGGTCCACATGTCGACCGAGTTTGGCGCGCTATCGATATGCTGTTCGATCTGACTGATGACCCCTCTTGGCCAGATCCCGGGCCCAAGTGGCCGATGATTGTGCAGTTGCGGGATAAGGCGCGGTGCATTCGCCAGGCACATGATTCTGCTGAACGGACTCAGCAAATTGTTGACGATAATTGTCCTCTTCGTGTTGATGGGACTGGGACTGGGGATTGTCGGCCTGAGGTAGGCTTCGATATCGATAATTGCGATCCGAACTTTGCCGATTTTTCAGATTGGAATTTCCTGGCTCATAGTCTTTCTCTCTTGAATTGACGAGCCTTTTTGCTAAGGCGCTTGCTTTTGTATAATTAGTTAACTAGTTACGGGTTCAGTTTCTTTCGTACTGCTGCAAAGCGGTATCTCAAAAACATATGATTGCCACTTTGGCATCATGTTTACCGCTCTCTCCACCGCTCCATCGCTTAATTATGTCTGTTCTATAGCCCCAGCACGCGACGCGACGTATCGTAGACCGCAAACACATAAACATGCTGAACATACAACCTCACCCTCATTTCCCCTGCATTACTTGCACATCATTCAAGCAACCGCCAACATGCCTGTACCTGACGAGGAATTAGATAACCTGCCACTCCTACTGGAAGCAATTAAAAACCAATCTATCCACCGCTTGGAGGGTATCCTGCAGGACATTGTCAAGCACAGCCCAGAAGGCCGCAAAATCGCTTCGAAGTGGCTACTGGTAGTGAAAAATGATGTGAAAGCTGGGCCAGTTGCCCCGGTTTCTCCCATTGCTCCCGTTACTTTTGCCCTGCCTGTCAAGGAAGAGTCCATGACCAGTGTCCCGATGACATCCCGTTTCGAAAACTGCATCTACTGTCTGGAGGAATTCGAGGTCACTGAAAATTCGGAGACAAGCTGCAAATACCATCTTGGTACGTATATTCCCAAAGCACCTTTGTCAATACACGACACAGATGGAAATGTAACTAATCTATGAAAAGAGCCTGACGTGGTCGACGAGGAGTATTTCAAGGCTGAGATTGCCGCTGGATATGATGTCGACAGTGATGAATATCGCCTGGCTTGGCCAGAGGGGTTTTTCTATCCTTGCTGTGGAATGGGTTTGACCGGGAGCATGTGTCAGGTTGGTTGGCATAAGGCTGCAGACCCGGATGACCGTCCCCGCAAGGAAACCCGTCGGAGCGAGTTCTAACGAAATTAAGTGAGTTTGATTCTGGAGTTTGGGGTAGGATCTAGGATGTGTCATTTTCTCTGAGGTTTGATGCTAGCGCCGATGGTGATGCTTTATTTTCCCAGGTAGACTGCGATCTCTGGAAAGTATTCCGTTTTTTTTTTTCATGTCGGATCTGTATGTATGAATTTCTTTCTAACCCAGCCGGCGGGCTAATCCATTTTATCCTATTATGGGAAATATTCACAATTAAACAAACTCAGCCCTGATTACTGCAATGGGCAGTCCGGTCGATACTCCCCCGAAGCCTCCTCATCCTCACCTAGGCCATCTCGCCTCCGCTGCTCCTGCCGCTGATTCTCGTCGTCCACTAACTGCCGCAGCCGGCCTGCATCCGGCTCTTCACCTGGTTGAAGACGGAGCAGCTCATCAACCATGGCCGCCCGCCGCGGGTGACCCCGATGGCGTAAGTACCGCTGAAACTCGGCGAGCATAAATGTGCGGAGGGGGTCGTTGACGGGAGCCTCTTCGATGGGTGGTGTCGATGAGGGCACAGAAGCGTTGCTGACGGGATCCTGTTCTGCGGCTGTTGTATATGAGGGAACAGGAGAGGTTACTGGCGCGGCTGTAGATACAGCTACCGTCGGGGGCATTGTTGTAGATGTAGTTTGGGCTTGGGGTGGTGGCACATCCCTCGCTGATGAAACTGATGACACAGCCGTAGATGTAGCTGCAGTAGGGGACGTCATTGCAGATATAGCTTGGGCTGGGGGTGGTTGCGTCGTTACTGGAATTCCCTGGTTGAGCTTCACATGGTCTATGACCGCTCGAAGGAGATTCCAGCGCATCTCGCTGTGTTTCCGCCAGATAAATCTCTGCCATGGGATTGTTGGGCCCACATATACCATGTTTGGGTGCTCGCTTGCTAATGGCCAGTGGTCTTCGAGGTCTGATGTCTGCGCTGTGAGTAGGGAGTAGAGATCACTCCACACAAGACTGCCGAGAATTCGCATCTGTCCGCTGTAGCCTGGAGACTCATCTGGTCGTGAGCTGCCCTCCTTTGGGTCGAAGTCTGGGTCAACGGCGAGAAGGAAGCCGGTGAAGTCACCGGCAATGAGCCGGGAGGCCGCGGGACTGTAGGAATTGGTGGTGTATGAGGCAAAGGACGCAGAATCGACGACGAGGAAAGCGCCATCTTCTAGCTTCGACCAGTCGTCGCTTCCCTCTATTGTGTTTTTGAAGTGTCTGATTGGATTGTTAGCTTCGAAATGCAAGAGCGAAGGGGGTACACTCACTGCTTAGATGCATCGACGTCGCCCTCGGGAATACCCAATTCCTTCCCATCTAGCCAGTGGAGCTTTAAATGCTCCTTGATAGCAATACTTCCTGTTTGACCTTTGCCCCAATCCGAAACATGAGCTTCCACTTTGCGAACGAATTCTGTCCATTCCGACTCCGTCTGCCCATAAGTCAACCGATACACAACCAACCCGTACTTTTCGTCCTTTCCCTCCTTCTTTCCAGATTCCATATTGGACGCACAAGCAGCGATCCAAGGCTCGCGAGGAATAGGTTCAAGAGGTGCACCACGCACCTCTTTCCTCAATTTATTCTGACCTTGAATCTGGCTCCAGGATGTCCCATGGTACGACTCTCCGGACGTAGGAGTTGAACCTATCCACGCAGGTGCATTAAGAGAGATAGCTTCTCGAGTAAGCAGCCTCAAACGCTCATGGTATGCTTTACTTCTCGTTAACAGATTCGCCGCATGAAGAGCTGCCGGGCCGGGCCGCGGGGCATCCGCCCAGTACCCTTTGTAACCGTTCATGGGGATCATGATGGTAAAATCAGCATTGGCGGCGATTTCCGTCAGCATGTGCAGGGAATCAGTAATTTTCCACTGCACAGCATCAGGCTGGGCTAACGGGCCGCCATCTCCTCCCGGTGGCCGATACCCCAAAAGAGCTCGCAGCAATGGAGTTCGTAGTGTATTGACATGCACAGTAACCCACCTATGGGCGCGCTCGGCCATCATCTCGAAATGCGCAGTCATGTACCTTGTCCAGAGACCTGCGACACTAACGGGCTTTTTATCTTGCTCTGCTCTGCGCTTGTTGAGAACAGCGTCGAGCTCCGTCCAATGATCGTAGATGTAATTGAACGTGTCGCGAAGATATAATCGCACGGTTGGTTCATTCAAGTACTGGAACACGGCGATCACGGCCGATAGATGCTGACAGGCAAAATCAAAATGCTCGGGCTGGTCGAGACCTTTTTCCTGCCACACCTGATCGCTTAGAGGGATGATGCCCTCCCATAGACGAGACTTGAGGGATTGGATGTTCTTTCCGACCATGCAGAGACGGGTAGAATCTCGCTCAGAGCCAATGCGGGCCATGACACTGGTCATGATGGGCTCGCCATTGGAGTCCGGGGGAAAGTTTTGGTCATGTTGGATAAAGGTTGCTTCCTCTGTGGACAAGCGCTCGATATTGGGCTGATTACCATTGGGCAGGGGTTTACCGAACGCAAACTCAAGAAAATGTGCGATGGTTTGAGGCTCAAGAATGCGATCGACTTGATCGGCGTTGTCCGGTTAGTACTATTATAGACACTGAAATGTTGGGGATTTGAGGGGTTCGCGAACCAACTGGCAGGTTCTGTGCTTTGCAATGAGCGATAGTGACCGAAGTGCCTTCAGCTTCAAGATGTGAGTACATTGTGAGTGGTGAGGAATAAACAAAAAAAAAAAAAAAAAAGTCAAGATCAAGAAAACCACGACGCGATCCCGGACCTTTCGAAAGTGGAGAGAGGTGATTTTAAAGTCGCGAGGCAACTATGCGTTCCGGTTGGTGAAGTTTCAATTTAGTGCGGGTTATTGGATCTAAATCTCAATGGGGTTTGGCTTTAGTTTTTTTATTCTAGTCTTCTTTAGTTAGTTAATTCTTTAGTATTATTTAACGTTGGCCCCCTAAATGTTGCCTGATATCTCTTACATATTAAAAGGGGAACTAACAACCAGGAATATACGGAACAGAGAATTTATATAGACTATAAATCGTGGTCTTCATTATAAACTAGGTATCAAGTCATTATTTCGTACCAAATTATTTCCTGGCCAATAAACCAGAATCCCGAAATTCACAGCAAAAACGCAAAAAAGAAAAGCAAAGACAAGAAATGCTTTTATACCCGCTCAGGTGTACTCGACCCACTAGCCCTGAGTTTCTCCTCCAATATCAACCTCTGACAGAAGGGACTTCTCTCCCGAATCCAAGGACCCCAGCGCATCAAAGCAAAAGGAATCGGAATGCAAGCCAGACTAATAAAGCCAAGGAGGGAAGTAGCCCACGAAACCCCGAAAGATTTATAGAGCGGCTCCGCAGCCAGCGGGAAAAGTGCTCCAGCAATACTCCGCACAATAACGGAAGCTGCTAGGGCGCTAGCAGAGTAGATTTTGTATGCGTCGGTTACGTACGTAAGAAGCGAAATAAAGATAGTCTGGAATCCGAACCCAAAGATAAACCCTGACATCACAGGCGCTGCCCAATGCGTAGTGGGCTTTGCTGTCCAGGCGAGCCAGAACATGCTTATTGTTAGACATGGCCCAGCGATGCAGGACATGGGGAGTCGGTGGTACTCTGGGCTGGAGGTCCAGACTTTGTTAAGCTTCTTGGCTTTTTCGTAGATCATGTCGTAGTAGAGAGCGACGAAGCCGGAAGATGCGGCGCCAACGCCAACTGTGATGGATTAGTCGTGTCCGGGGGATATAGATGAGCAGAGATGGGACGTACTCGGGATGTATGTGAGGGAAGTTTGTTCGACGGTGAAATCATAGACACCTGTCGATGTATTGTTAGTATTGTACACGGATCAATGACAGTTTCGAGCATTACCTCCAAAGATGATGGGATAGGCCTGGAAATAAAAGAAGACCAGGCTATATGCGATGGCGATATAGATGGATGTTGAGGTGATGATAGGCTCAAAGAAGAGCATCGTGATGGGACGAGTGATAATCTCCATCGGAGTGAATCTCGAATCTAGGTTGAGCTCCTGACGTGAGAAGTATCGATTGGATCCCGAATCCTTTCTCAATTTGGTAGCTTGCCGCTTCAGGAGTGCCGGGCCAAACGTTTCTATTTTGATTTGAGATTAGTTGATGCCCCGATTTGCCGGGACAAGTGATAATCATACCAGACGTGAAGAACAGAGCCAACCAGGTAATACCCGTCAGAACCAGGTCGATCCTAAAAGTCCATCTCCACCCATATTTGACCGAACACCCAGAGATAATCGGACCTAGAATAGGACCGAAACTGCAAGCCTGGAATACATATCAGTCCTATTCAAACATTCCACCCGTAGAAGTAGGTAATCATAACATACCGACATATACATTGCCATGGCACGACCACGACTTCGCAGATCGAAAAACAGGTCTGCATAAATACCACCGACAACAGTCTGAGGTGCAGCCCCCATAAGGCCACAAATAGTCCGAAAAACGAGAAGTGAGGACCAATTTGGCGCCAGAGCACAACCAAGTGTAGCGAGGACAAAAACAGTGAAAGACCAGATGAGAACGGGTTTCCGACCAATAGTTTCACTCAATGGACTGAATAGCAAGGGTCCAACAACATAGCCAATGAGAAAGACGGCAGTTGGTAAGACCTTTTGCTGGCCTCCGGACTCGTGGAAGTCCTGCATGATAGCGGGGACTGCATTGCTAGGAAGTGCGGATGATATGCCGCTATTGAGGACAATAAATAGCGCAACAACTGCATTGTAGAACTTCTTCTTCTATTTGGTTTCAACATTGTTAGTGAATATTTCTTCACGATACATATAGACGTGCGTACAAATGCCCAGTTTGGAGGGTTTTTTGGTGAGTTCTCTTGAAACTCGACAAGTAGTTCATCTTGAGACAGTTTAACTATTTGGTAATCGCCATTTGGATTTTGATTATTCTCCGTCGAAGCAATGGACCTCTTGTCAGAACCATCATTCTTGCCTAATGTATGTTAGAGCAGACTGTGAAATATCAGTTCAGGTTGACCGCACCTGAAGAAAGAATGGCGGCTATCTGAGCCGTTAAAGATTGTTTCGTTTCTGACGCCATATTGCAACATCAAATGTGGGGTAAACTAGAACAAAATGGAAGAGGATTGGAAGTCTGCTTTTATTCTGATTCTCAAAAGCTCCGGTAGATGAGGACCGAAGCTCTATATAAGCCGTATAGAAATAATCCAGTTCCCCATTGCAACCAGCGGACCCATAGTGAAAACCCTGACAATTCTTTGACTCATTATGCCTAGAACCTGTTGGTCTTGCATAATGCCTCTATCTATTATGTTGGAGTAGGGAACAAGCCAATGGGAAACTGGTATACTTCCATTTTTTTTGCACGGGAACCCGGTCCCGTACCGGCCCCGGGGTTTAGGGCAATCCATTCACGGCGCCGGGCGGGATCCGGACATGATGGCTGCCCGCGACGCACAAATTGATTGCTATAACTCCGTTTTGAGTGGAGATCTAGACCTAGGGGACTAAACACATGTGAATAAAGAAGCATACTGCGTTGCGCGTTGCGGCCCAATCTGTTGTTCGTTGAAACAAGTATGAGGATTGATCTGCGAGGCTAGAGCTTGGGGCTTGCGTGATTTACTCAGTTTGAACAGTGGCATTGGAGTGATCTAATACTTCAATAAAAAGCGTATTGGTTACGTTATTATTACTGTGGCATCGATGGCATCATAGGTAGGAAATCGAAGATATCGTTCTGCCCCTCCTCAAATAGACCAAAAGAATCTGCAATAGAGTTCGATACAGTCCAGTTGGGTGCTTCCATTGTGCCGGATAGCCGAGATACCGGCGCTCTGGCCACTGCAGATGGGTCATTACTTGGCATTGAGACCATATTTGAATCTTTATCGGCCTGGATGGTCGGGTCAGTTCTGTAGCGGAGATCGTCGAGGGGACCCACCCCCGATGGAGGCGGGCTGTTGATCATGGGGTTATTAGATCCCTCGAATGTTGGGCCCTCATTTTGATCGGACATGATGGGTACATCTGTACTATGATTGCTCTGCGGACGTTGGCTGGCAATCAAAGCGCGTGCATAGTTCACGAAGATGGAGACAGTCCGATGGATGTCGGGGTATGGGGGTTGTTTGAGGAAATTGCAGATCTTTTCCGCTCTTTCAAGTAGAAGACTTTGATTGATCAGATTCGGACGCCATCTGGCGATCCGAAGAGCGAATGTTGCTAAGGCTGTATTAGCAAATTGTATGTAGCTGATCGAGGAAATGATCAACCTACTGACAAAAGCGATTGTGAGAGCTGGATACGTTGGCGCCCAAGGTAATTGACAACGATAGGATGGTTCGTTGATCAAAAAGCCTAATTGCTCCATGATGGTCGTCACAAGGGACTGCCACAGGTTCATCACATTCTGGTCGAGCGTCTCGGGGCCTGAATCTGTGTACGATGGTTGTAATTTTTGAATCCTTGCCAGCGAAGCACAGAAAACAAAAATCCTGGCATAGTGAAGCATAAGCTTGAGGCTGCTGCGTTGAAAGGCCCCTATGTGGAAACCGTTGTCTTCGAGTTTTGTTCAAGTCAGAATTCATCCAGATTGTGGGTGCCTTAAAGCAAGAAAGAGACGCCTACTTTCATGGATCTCGTCCCACGTCGTCCACCAGTTTTGTAATCTTGTCATAATGGCCGGTAGTTCTGTAGACACAATATCGCCAATATTTGAAGTGTTATCAATAATCACACGAGAATTACCTGCCACGTGTTAGCCATTTGACAGACAAATCACATCTAAAGCTTTGTTCGCTTTACCTCGAAGTTGATGAAGCTCAATGATACACACAGTGCGCATATCACACGGCAGTGATAGTGGATAGTCAAGGAATTTGCGCAGCTTTACCACATCAACCTCGGCAATGCGTGATTTGCGTCCTGTGCCAGATGCAACGTCCAACTCCAATATGAATGTGATTAACCAGGTTCTTGTCTTCCATACTAGTTCACGTTCAGCCATAGAAGCTGAGAGCGAACTCCGAGGTACATTTTCTTGGGACAACAGAGTGTCCAAAGATTTCTCTAATCCAGAATCCAGAGCGGTGCGAAGAATGAGAGCAATAGAGAACCATGTCTTTTCGGAATAAGCAGCTAAGAGAATCATCCCTTGAACTGTTTCTAGTTTGGTGGGCCGCTCGAAGAAGCTGTCTTCGGCCAAACGTTGTGCCTCATCTTGTAGCACACGCTGCATATGTGTGTCTCCGCGCAAATCTGTCACTGCCCGACTAGCCAGATAGATAATCACCGTAAAGCAAAACAAGGATCTTGAACGGACAGAGTCGAATGTGTCTCTGATCGGATCAAAAAGAGGAAGAAAGTTTTTCGATCCGCCCGTAAACCTGTAGCAAAGCAGTTAGATTTGATTACGCAGTTTCCTTTTTGCTGTTAGTACCATACCTCTCATACATGACACGAGCAAGCTCCTCACTAACGATTCCTCTAGCGACGACATCTCCTCTGGGATCGCCCTTAGTTGAGTTTTCCATAAATATCTTGCTCTGTTAGATGTATGCCATTCTGTAACTGGTCTGACTGTGACTTACATCATTGGTGCCTAGCAGATTCACAGACATAGAGTGTACTGCTGATGCAGGCGCGATCATTTCATTAGGGCTGAGCTGCTGAGACTCTGGTCCATTCGCATCAGACGTATAAGACCGCTGGAGGCTGCTTAATCCAGTAGAATCGGGCAAAGAATCAATCGGAGTGTCAAAACCACCATCTTGCACAGTGGCAGGTGAGAAGCCCTGATCTCTTGATGTCGGAGTGTGATATCCGGTCCTAGGATCCAGCGGCGAAGCAGTGTTTTGATTTCTGCGGCATTCATTAGCTGGCTGCTTTCATATGCAAGATCGATATTTCAATTGTCACCTTGCGGGGGTTGTTGTTTTTCTCCGACGATCGCTTCGTCGTCGGCCATTGTCGATCGGATCCAAAATGCAGTCCCGGCCGGCAGAGCGACAGCGGAAGCAAGGGACTTGGCTACGCGCATCACATCGCATCTTTTGTCTTCTGCACCATCGACATGCTTTGAAGAACCGTATCGGGACATTTTCCGCCCGGTAGACGATTTCCGACCCTCTTTCGCTCATGACTGCCCGTTCTTATTCCAATCTAACAACAAAACACCGGCCAATCAAGCCCACTGGTAACAGAAGCAAAGATCTGCCGATGCGTATCGATCGAAGACTGTGGCTTGGTTCTAATACTTGTCAACTGCCTGTTGGGGATATGTTTGCCGGTTGACGGAAAAGCCGGTCACGTGCCCGGTTAGCTCTTCTATTTTAGGAAGGTCAACAACAATGCCTCGTGTGGCGGGTGTAAGACGAAATTATCCAAACTTTTCCAAGAACTGGAGCTCATTAATCTGCATGTCATTTTTAAACAAAAAAATGAAGGTCCCCCCACTCTAAAAAGAGAACGACGGATCTCTGGCGGATCAATCCGACCAAGGGAGGACAGTTACATGGATTACCACCGTCAAGGGTCTGACTTCAGTAGTCCATCATCGACTCTTCAACCTCATTCAGTCAGACTAATAGCAGAGAGACGTAAACCACCACAAAATATACATTATATATTGTGATATAGTGTTGTAGGCAGCCCCTTCGCTCATCCTTGAGAATGGCTTCACTCGACAGGTACCACGTAATCATCCGGCTCATTGAATCTACCCAGCTCACACCCACCGAGCACTCGATTTGGAGAGATTTTCTGGACGAGACTGTTGATCCAGGATATGCTGCTTGCTAGATCTGGGAATAGATCCACGATCGCCCCGCTTGTTCGGCGGAAGCCCTGCACGAGTTAAAATTAACTACTAAGTGTCAGTCAAACCAGAGCATCCCCAGTGCCTTTTGTGTTTTTGCTAACCAGTAAATCAATTACCAGGAGAGACAAAGTTCCATCTAAAACAGCCACACTTGTTGAAGCTCGAGACAATTTACACTGCTTTATGCTGGACCAGAAGCCATCGGACCCAAGGTCACCGTTCGGTTCGACCATGCCTGGGTGATCCCATCGAGCCCTTTCGACGACAGTGACATGGATTCGCAGGTATGTGTTTATGGGGCAACTGCCTATATCATCGAGGTGGCCGGATAAGCGGCCAAATATTCTTGCCCTGATATATTACTGGCTCAAAATGGTAGCGTCAAAATTGCAATATCAATCTTCCATTATGCAACGAATGCAATTTACACAATTGTAAAAGCATGTTCTAGTGAAGTCCCCCATCCCAACCCTACACCTACTGTCGTATGCCCTTCGATATTCCAGACTCGACAGCCTTGATCTGAAGTGCCAAAAACTTGGAGTAGATCCGACACAAGGCGAGATTTCCGCCGAAGTACCAGAAGCCCGGATGACCGCTAGGGCGCCACATCTGAACGGTTTAATTAGCATGTATTTAGGGAAGATCACAAGTGACAGTCTCGAGATGAGTTAATGGCAGCTTACGGCTTGAACCTCTCCTTCTGCATCCAGATCCCAAACATCGCAGCACCGATCTGCAACCTTGTCACCCAAGACCTTCCTCACCGTCGTGCGCATATTATCGTATCCAGTGGCAAGGACAACAACATCCGCTGGCAGGGAATCACCGTTGGCCAAAAGCAGCTCGTGATTCCCAAAGCCATTGATACCGCCCGGGTTGTGATTAAGCTTGATCTTGCCATCGATGATAAGCTGACTGCACCCGACGTCGATATAATAACCTCCGCCACGGGTAAAGTATGCGCGTGCAATACCAGCTCCATCTGGCCCGAAATCAAGTTCGAAGCCAGCCCGCCGGAGTCCGTCTAGGGTCTCCTTTTCGGCGTCGGCAATTTTCTTCGTCATGTGTACACTCAAAGCAAATTGAACAGGCCAAGGGAGACTCTCGCAGGCGATATCACATTCTTCAGTTGGTGGACTACAATGTTGGTGTTAATGTGACGTGAATCTGGGAGATCTGAGTATAAGAAAACGTACCCGCCATCCTCGTGCATCCCACTGTGCATCATAAATACCCCTTTGTCGGCAGTTATAACATATGTTCCACTGCGCTGCAGCATAGTGACGTCTGCGCCGTTCTCATAATAGTTCTGCGCGATATCATGGCCGCTGTTACCAGTTCCGACGACGATAACTTTCTTGCCACACACATCGCTCTCCGACGCATCGTGGTGCTGACTGCCATGGTACACATTGCCCTGGAAAGATTCTTGTCCCGGGAAGGGGGGGATCTTCGCCTCACCTGAATGTCCTGTGCACCATACAAGGTGACGAGGCCGGATGGCACGTTGGGACCCATCGCCGCCAGCGAGGATAACCGTCCACTGGCCTGCACCTTCGTCGTACTCCGCTGAGACGACTGAGGTCTGCATCCAGATATTTAACTCCATAATGTTGGCGTATGCTTCAAACCAGTCACCTAGTTTATCTTTCGGTGTAAACTGCGGCCAATTCTGTGGGAAGGGCAGATAAGCCATGTGTGTGAATTCGGCTGGATCGTGCGTGACAAGTGTCTGCGTCGCGATAAATCAGCATTTTCTTCATCACTTAGATCAAGTTCCTCCGATGTTATTTACCCGATACCGGTTACGCCAATTGTCTCCAACACGTTCATTCTTGTCGACAATCAAGCACGACACGCCGAGGCTCTGCAAACGGGCACCCATGTTCAATCCAGCTTGGCCTAGTGTCTGTTAGCATTTCAATTATAGCTAGTCATCTTCACGAAGGAATCCTTACCAGCCCCAACAACCAGAGTAGTCGGCTCCTCATCCAAAAATTGTTTCCGTCGATTCCTGCGCTCAATCCATGTGCCCCCAGCCAGACCACCAGGCATCGACTCTGTCGTCCCCTCAGCTCGACGCTTCCCGAGTGGCTCCCGAGCGGAGCTGAGCTCCTGTAACGATGTGTACATAGCATACGCCTTCCAAACTCCATCATCCGCCTGGGTCAAGCGCAACATGCCCGTTCCTGTGCCAACGGCAGTCTCGAAGAAGAACATGGAAGACACCCAGCTCAACCCGTCGACGACCTGCTCTAGACGTGGCTGAAACTTGCCCTTATCTTGTAATTGGAACTTGGACAGTTGTGCACTAGCCTGTCGTTTGCTCAGGAAGCTTTGGATCTCAGCGGCTGAGTGTACGGTGCGCATGTCCCAGTCCAGGGCCAGCATGTCGCGCCACCAGGACTCAGCGTGGAATAGCTCCTTGATGTTTAAGTTTTCTGAACGGGAGAGCTGGACTTCTAGAGCTGAGAGCCATTGCTGGGCGATGCTTTTCGGGTCGGAGAGTACGTCGGAGGGTGTCTTGGGCAGTTGGATAATGTGTGGATTTCCACCGGTTAATGTTGTTGCCATCTTGAGGGTGGCTCAATGGATTTGCTTAGTTGCTAACTTGAACAGGCGTTATAAGGGTATGTTTCAGGCAGCGAGGCGGAAGTATGCTTTCTGCTTCAATTGCAGACCCTTGTAGGAACCCTTGTTCTTATACCCTGTCTTCCCCTCTATTGCCATTTTGCCGGGTAAGGTCTTAGGCAACTGAGCCGAGTTCCACGGCGTGCCTCCGAGCGATGGGCAGCTAGAAAACGTGGAGTACAACGCAATGTTCAGGTGGAGTCGCCTAACGTCAGTCACCCCGGCCTCCTCCCCGAGATTCTGAGAAGATCGGAATAATATCCCCCGAGCTGACCACTTCGAGGCAGGTCTGCCGAGCGGATCGACCCTAACAGGAAAATCTGGCGATCGGTTCTAGAAATTTGCCAAATTTGGCATCTGCAAGCTCGGCTCATTTACTCTATTGCAAATATATTTTAGAAACCTTCAAGTTTCATAGGGCACGGGTTCGAGTTGTTGCTTCAATTGGAAGAAGCACCTACATAGTCCTATCCTACTATTCTGACTTAATTATGTTACTTGAATTCTCATTGGATTTTGATTGAATTTTGACAGGTTGATTGATAGAGTTAACACCCCATCACCTACAAGTGACAGGCTGATTGTGGACCTTCTTTGGGCTTGGATCTAGCCATTTGAGTGATGAGAGTGCTTCGATTCATGACTTGCTGCTGGGTGGAATATCCAGAGTTGGGTTCTTGGTAAAGAAGTTGACTGGCTTCAAGGAAACCTTGAGCATTTTCCAGGGCATGCCAGGGAAATCCTCAATAAGTATTCTCTCGTTGGATACTGCCTCACCGCAGGTATCACCTCCTTCTCGAAGCCTGTATGTTAATTTTAATTTGTATACTAACAAGAATAGTCGGCCGCTTGCTTATATGGCCTTGTGATGTCTTTTTATTAGTCTTTTTTAAGTGTATATAAAGGCAGTAAGAAAATAGCATACTCTATAAGAAAGACTTTCCTATATATAACATTTGGTTTCAACTTCTCTTTTTTAGCCGGCGTATCTTCTCCTTCTATACGCGATACTCTATACCTTACTATTACACCCTATATTCACGACCAAAGACGCTTATTTTCTAATATATTTTCGCATACTTGTAAAGTGAGAGTGGATCTAAAACTCTGCCTAGTAATTGAACTAATGAGAGTGTTATCTCCCGTGTGGCATCCTTAGTCGACCGTAGATGGGTTCAGAATTTTGAATGTCCGGTTTGTTTCAGCATTCAAATAGACCCCGCAGCTTTCTTCAAACACCGTATCTTTTGTGATGTACCCAACTCTCTGAGGATTGTCCACGGGATGTAAAAGGCATTGGGAATGCCTCGTAGATAAGTTGGTTCATGTAGCCATCGATCATAGGATCGACCCGAAGTGAAAAGACATGTTGATTGTGAGCGGCCAGAACACCGAGACTCCTAGTATATCGGTACTCTTTATTGATATATGGTGTCAGTACTACACATGTCCCACTCTCAGCTAAAATAGGCAAATGTTGAACACTTCCAAACTTAAATCCCCCAAGAAGATGTTCTATATCCCCTCCGAGGTTACTCGTAGTAAACTATGGAAATAATACAGAATTACCCGCGTTTCTTTTATACTCGTCCTGCCACAGAGCGCGTGCTCAACAGAGGATCTATCCTATCCCCACTTCCCTTCTTTTTACTCGGAGCTTTTATCACCGCTCTTCAAGCCTGAAAATGGATGATCCAAACCCGGAACCTTCGAAATATACTTGCAACACTGTCAACTGTTTGGGAAATTATAGTACCATTTATGCGGGCTTGATTGTCGATGCCGTGCTTGATTCAGCAATTTTGAGGGGAAAACTCACCGAGTTGGTTAGATTATGGCCAATACTTGGCGGTGGTTTGATTAAAGATGTGAGTCCATTTTTCCGCTACTACGGCTTGCTTATATCCTTTCTAGACAGAACCATGGTCTTTCACTTGTGGTTCTACTGTCGATTATGCCAGTAGGGATATTAACCAGTCACTGGCTACCTATCTTCCAATCCGTCAGGAGCAAAATAGCCATGAGCCGAAAATCATGAAAAGCCCGGAAATATCCGCAGTTGATGAGAAATTCATATTCGACGTTCCTCCCAACCTCGCAAACAGTTTCCGCCTTCGTGTTACTCTCCTACGAGATGCTACCTTGCTCTGCTTTGGAATCACGCACAATATCTTGACGGCAATGATTGCTGGGAAGTAGTTAAAGCATTCTGCGACCTACTGTCTAATAAGCCAATTCCTTTGTTTGCTCTTCCGCCTGACACTGGGGATGTTCGCATGTCTGATCTGGTGAAAGTCAAAAACGAGTGCACTGAAGCGGAATCCAATTTTCACTACCAGACTCATGCGCAGAATTACGATAGTGGGATATTTAAGCTGGCAATGACTGTGTGGCGTGTGCTGTTGACGCTCCTTGCTTTGAAGTTGGGATTCCTTGAGGAGCTTACGACCAAGTTTATCCACATTCCAGGCACATGGGTTGACGAATTACGGATCAAATCACAGGAGGAGCTGAAAGACTGTTCCCCCAAGATTCAACTCACAAAAAACGATGTTATTGCTGCATGGTATCTGAAATCCATCTATTCCCCTCAACCTACAGCTACATCCCTTGATCCAGTGGACTACTTTGGGATTATCAATTTCCGTCGCTTTCTTGAGCCCCCAAAGGCTGGAACATACTACATCCGCTGTAGTGTTGGTGCCCTCCGGTGTAAGTTCTCTGTACAGCAGCTGAAAGAAGAGTCAGTTGCTGAAATTGCTCGGGATATACGCCTCACAACATTGCAATATACATCTACCGGATCTGTCCACCAGAGTCTTCGGTTCTCGGAAGATCATACATCCAAGATTCTCACATTAGCTCTGCGCGGCACTGGAAACCTAGGGTGTGCTGTGGTATCCCACTGGACAACATTCGATTATACTGGTCTGAATTTCTCTAGCGCCAGTCTGAATAGTCAGAAAACGTCAGTCATATTTGTCAATTCTATGATTGTAAACGCATGGGACGTTAAGATAGCACCTGTTGCTGTCGTCACGAAGAATGGGTCTGGAGGCTATTGGATTCGCGCTGCGAATACATCTACTGGCTGGGATCGGTTCAGCGAATCTGGTAGCATGCAAACTCTATTCCCTACACAGTGATCGGAGTCACCCATCCTCGGTTCACGTTCATAGTCCAACCAGGATACTTCTTTTTCCAGAAATGCTCCAAATGCTCTAAATAAAGGAATTGTTAGTGACGCATTATATTGCAGCCTCGTTCAACAGCCCGGCCGGGCTAGCTCAATCGGTAGAGCGTAAGACTCTTAATCTTAAGGCTGCGGGTTCGACCCCCGCGTTCGGCTATTCCTAAAAACCAAACCTAAGATTTCTTTTTTGCCTTTCTTAAGGCAAGTGTTTGGGAAATTTATAAAGTAGGGGGAAGAGACAGCTTTGAATCCTGTGTGAGAAATCAAGAGCGAGGGCTCTGCTTTACATGTTGGCGCAAGGACATCGGCATACCGGAGGATTTATCAATCCTCCATGTTTTGTCACTGTAAATGCGGGAAAATACAGCTTATTTTACCAGACCACAAAAACCACAAGAACCAAGGTTCTTGTTTGTGGCCTAGGGAGGCCTTATTCCATTGTGACACATCCTATTGGTCGACAATCATGACCCACCAAGTTGTGGGCCCTTCCGCTAACCACATTCAGTGGCCATGGACCCAAGGCAGTCTGTCTGCCTTCCAGGATGCGCTTACCGGAGGCGAAAGTCTAGTGAGAGGAGATTTACTTGAAATTTGTCTCTGACTTTGTTTCTAAGTTTTACCCTGGTCATGGGATGGCGGCAGCGTTACCCAAAGGTTATGTCATTAGCTATCTATCTGCGTTGTGGTTATATAAAATCGTCTATACAGCTCCGCCACAGCAAAGAAAGGACTCCCAAATAACCAGAAAGTTGTTATCCTTCACAAAAGCGAGCCATATTGATTGGTTGAAGCTGGCGCATTCGGTATAACAAGCGGGGGATTACCCGGTGCGGAGAACCCATTGTGGCGCGCTTTGTGATTAACTACATCTGATAGGTTGCTTTTCAGATTGGTTAAATGACTATCTTGGGGAGAATTGGTTTATCACTAGTACCAAGAACACGGAGGGCTAGATAGATTGGCAACTTATGGTTTTTGGCATCAAGATTGTTGGTCCGTTTGCAACTTTAAAAAGAACTTACCATGGCTTCAATAACCATGGCTTCAATTGAATGGCCACTTGAGTGCGATGTGCAAGACCATATACCTAATATAAAGTAGATGTTTCACATGTTGACGCTCGGAGATTGGAATATGATGGGGTAACTGGCAAGCTCATGCTCCTCCATCTGCCCACAAGCTCATGGAGGAAAGCCAACTCGTTTGAGCCAAATGCCAAATTTAACAAGAGTCTATGGCCCCATGTTATCAGCTCACGTTACCCCTAAGGTGACGTATGATAGACTCTAAGTTAATACCTGGGGAAGGCGGTTGAAAGTCAGTAGTCGAGGTTCTAGAGCCACCAATGCAGGCGGGCTATACAGACCAACGGTGTCTGTCACTATGACGCATGAACCAGACAGTCTTACATCGCTCTGCCAAGGCTCAGTCGACCATCAGTTCTATCTGCGTGTACTTGAACGCCTTTTGCTGGCGGGTAGGATATAAAAGAATGGCCGAATCCCTAACCAACCCTTGCGGCATACACCAATCACTGGATTAAGCCATACTTTTTGATCTACAATACCTTTTTGATCTACAATCCGAACGAAATGAATAATACCCAGAACCTACGCATCAAATCCGTTGGACAGGATACATGGCTCATGGGTGATTGTCTCAATAAGGTCACGGGACACTGGAATCCAAGCAGCCTGCGACTAGACAGCTACCTTGGAGACGAAGGAGGTTCGTGATGTGTGCCATTTACTTTATCGTTGCTAACAGTGCCATAGGAGACTTCCAATGGGGTGGTCATGAGTTCACCGAGAAAGCCTCAAATATCACATTCAATGCTGATGAGGGTGCTGCTCACCAGCCCATTTTGCGAGCTGATCTGCTGGATGATGCAGGTGAATTTCATGAAGCAGATAAGAACTTGTCTGAGCGGATCTCGAACGTCAATGGTCAGTTCGAATTCCGTTAACGTTGGTAAGTTTTTCGGCTGAAAGAGAAAATGCATAAACATCCAACAAATGTCTAATATGCAATTCTTTAGATTTCAACCCTATGAACACCCAAAGTTCCCTGTCATTATGTTATCGTAGTCCAACTACTACATTTCATTAGTATGCTGAAAAGTATGCCATCCGAAAAGGATTCAAAATAAGATGTTTCCACAAACCAAATCTTTGATTCTCTTTTTGGAAGCAAACAGTAGCAGACATGTAAATTAACTGATTTTTTTGGCTTACTTTGCTTGTCGGATAAAGAAGTCTTGATTTTCTTAATAGCGTACTGCGTTTTATTGAACATTGTCAGACAAAAACCCGAGGATGCTCCATAATTCCGGATAGATCAGCTTGTCTATTAGTCACGTATTGTACACGTATAATTGCTACTGTAGCTACATAATAACAGAACAGAGCTCATATTTTCCTGATTGGCCAGTTGTTTACTGCTCTGACAAACATCAACATCATGCCTGATTCTCACGGTATCAAGCAAAGAATAATACCACAACGGTCTCAGTATCCTGCATGAACCAGATAGTTTTGAGAACACATTTCAATTACAGTCTAAATCACTTCATTGGCCGATTCGGATGCTAATGCGTACTGTGATCTTCAGAATCGATGGTACTCTCTGATTCCTCTTGAGATCATGTGGTCTAGTATTTCAACTATAATTTCCCTTTTTATTATGTTGAGATCTCCCATAGGTTACATGATCTGTCCCAATATAGGAGTAGACTAGTAGACTAGTTCTCTCTTTTCCTCTAGTTTAGTACCTTGTACAACATTCCACTACCGCAATACATTACATTGTGCTGCTTTTATGATCTCATCCACACTGTAGACTCTAATAGGTTATGAGCCCGGGGAGCTCGTCATTGATCTAATCTCACGATATGTCAATATCCTTGGTTCTTTATACATCACGACGTACAGGGTTATGTCTCGCCTGGCACATCCAGTTAAATTTAAGTTAAAGATCTTTGTATCCCGCCAAGCCCCGGGAATTGCCATTCTAGGACATAAGAATAGCTTCAACTGCAGATCGACTACTACGTTGCTACGATCTGCCAGGATAATAGGCAGAGTCTCAGCAGTATCTCCTGCGTAGGGGACTATACGTACAGATTTCTGCTAGGCGAGGCCACCTTAGGGTTGAACCTACACTTTGGCACAACCCACTCTAACCCGAACTCGAACCCAACCCAACCCAACCCAACCCAACCCAAAATGGGGTTTGGGTCTAATTCTATAACCTAAAACCTAGGTAACCTATTAGGGCCCTAATATAGTGTTAACTAGCTAAATAGACTTCAAGCGTATATGTAAAGGATATGCCTGGGCGCACATTCTTCTGCAGCATGTGGATAAGATCAGGGAAGTTGTATCCATTTCCCGAGAAGAGGGATGAGCTGTAACGAATATTCTGAGTGAGCCTGATTACCGTGTTTCGAAGTCTGAAGTCTGATTGTACAAAAATCTGTTATTTCATGTTTATTTTTATCAGAAACTCGCCCATGTATGGCCTCACCTAATGAAAATTGATCCGATTAAATTCCAATTCCTGGCACAACTCTCAGAGTCTAAAATGTATCAATAGCATAGTATACTGGCTCTAATGCGGAACTACATCCTTCGTTCCAATAGGCTGGGTGTTGTTCATTAATCTGCCGTTCACAATATCGCCTATAGTGTATGCAAGAAGCGCGAGTTCACCCCTAGTACCGGCGTCGTCTCTTGACGTCTTTAATGGCCCTCCAGTTGTCTTCTCAGCATCATTCAATCCATTATGATCTCTATGAGAAAACCTCAGTACGAGTGTGCCCCTGGTATATATTTTTTTTATCACGATTCAATAAAGAAGCGAACAATTTGGTATTCAGTAATGGGAAAAAAAATTAAGTACAAATAGAGATGGTCCTAAGGTCATGTGTATCGACCAGGTTGGTGACATAAATCAAGTACCAAATGGATTCTCGAAGGGGTTGATTCTTCTCTTTCCTTTTTGTTCTCTTTTTAGATTTTTGTCATTAACTCCATGGAAAAGAGTCAGGAGGGGCGAAATCTAGAAAATTGCATAATTAAGCATTTGCATATTTGTGATCAAATCAAGAACTTACCAAGAGAACTGCAGTTGACCTTCACGATTATTGATTCGTTCAGCTAAATTTACATCCCCTTGCAAGTATCTGAATGCGTCGTCCTGCAGTTCAGCTCGCAGGACGGGGACACGGCTACCACCTTCCTCGGGATTGAATGTGATGTTTCTGGCACGCTCAGTGAACTCATGTCCACCCCATTGAAAGCGTCCTATCGTAATGTCAGACAAGGCAGATTGATTAAGTAATATAATACATCACATACCTCCATTATCTCCAAGGCAGGAATCCAGTCGCAGCCTGCTTGGATGCCAACGTCGGGAACTATCCATACAATTGCCCACGAGATAGGTGTCCGCTCCACAGGGCTCGATGTGAAGATCAGTGGTGGCATTCATCTTATGGAATTGTGATCAAGAAATATGGTTTGATTTTTAAAAATAGTGTTCTTACGTAGAATATCTTAGCGATTAAGACAATATTTATATCTTGAATACTGAGAAGTTTGTTTTAACGCTCAGATGATGTCTCTTGAGCACTTGAGATGACGCATCCACTGTGGTTCTAGACCTAAGTTGCGTATTCAATCTCTTCGAGTTCGCGCAAGCCGAATAGAAATCAGTATCATAAAGCCTAGAACGTCTCGAGGGCATCATTGTACCTCGAAAGGAAAGTCAGGTGCATTGATCATATGCATGATTATATCATATGCTCAATAGAATGGTGATTAAGTAATTCATCTAACCTTTATTAGACACACAATAACCTAGAACTTTGATATCCTTGTTGATTGATCAATCAGATCAGGTTTCTTTCTCTCTATTCTCATTTCCTAGAGTTGACTGACTGGAATTCGCGACATAATGGCTAAAGGTCTAGGCTTAGCCTTGCTAGATCAACTATCATCCTATCTACGAATAGATGTAATCGCACCATCATCATCTGAGGATAAAACAGGTAGAACCAAAACAAGAGGCCATGAATTCAGCCATGACGGCCAGCGGCGAATAATCACAATGTTTTAAGAGGCAAATGGGTTGGTCCAACACGCTCATCCATATTCTCTTGTGATCCTTGAATTACACAAGAATAAGTACCATACTAATTTGTGGATGCAAACGGTTAACCGTGATATGTCTGGTGGTCTTCATTCTCCAGTCAGGACCAGGAAGTTTCATCCGCAGAAGACGAGAATATGGTACGGGGCCTAGCCGAGACTATAGATAACCCGTGTTCCCCACGGAACCAGTACCAAGTAATCACGAACTTCAAAAAAGAAAAAGAAAAAGAACTTACATTTCTCATGCATTAAAGCCACCCAAGAATGGCCCTAGCCTACTTCATGGCACAGAAACTCCCGTAAAGGTACTCGAGTTTAGACTTGTGAGAACTAGGAACGATACGATTCCAAGCACCAGCGTGCATAATGAAGCTTGACGAACTTTCAATAATAACCCGAAAAAAAGAGAAGTGGTATGTGACGTCACTGAGTCATTAAAGCGTTTTCATGGCCATAAAACCGAGAGACGTAACCCTCTTCAAACGACTGTCTTCAAATAACAGTATTATGCCCCCAGCGATACACCATGTCTGAATCTCATCAATCAAACCCACAAGACTCTTACGACGAGTCTCAGATCTATGTAACTTATGAGGTCGCAACAGCTCACCTACGAAAGAAGCTGACTCGCAAGGAGAAACAACTGAAAACGCAATATCGGCTTATTAGCATTGCATTCAACTTGATCACAATCACGCAAGTAATAGTCGGCGCAGCTATTACCGCATTGGGACCTACAGGCGGTGAACACACGTTAGCAATCACTGTCCTCGGGGCTCTCAACACATCTATTGCCGGATTGTTAGCACTGCTTAAAGGCAGAGGGCTCCCGGAGCGACTGAGAAAAAATATGATGGAAATAGCCAAGGTTTCAGACTTGATTCAAGAAAGAGCAACCTTATTGAGATATGGCAATAACCACGTCTCCGATAGCGGAATTTCCCTTCTTTTACAGGAGGCTTTCCAAGCATACACTTCCGCCCAGCAGATCATTGAAAGGAATCAAACAGATACATATGCCAATGAAAGTATGCCCCAATCTTCTGTCGTCGCTACAGATATGGATGGGGCTCCAAGTCAAAACCGCCGAATGGATGAAGAAATGGGAAACGTTAGTGCGATTTGATAATAACAGGAACCTTTGCCAAGGTTAGTAATAACGGACCTAAAATACAGATTATCTGACATTAACTCTTCCTTAGTGCCTCTTCTATCCACCGGATTACCTCTACATAGTCATGGGGGCCCTGGATGTGATTGATATAAACACATTCGCCATATGGTTAGGCAATTTCAGCTTTATGTTTCTCAACCCTTACCCAATACCTCATTTGTTTATAAGAGTAGTAAATCTATACAAAACTTATGGCAAACATTAAGCAGAACAAATAACTGGTACTAGCATTCTTGCATGCAAAACAAAGATCCCTTGCCATTCCGTAACACTACGGAGCCATTAATTCCGCCACCACCATTCCTTCCGACAAAAGGAATATACTTTAAGAGGACCCATAGCCGATCACACCCTTTCTAGGTATCTGCTCTCCGTTAGTACAGACTAACTTTAAGCCTATATCTAGACCTCCGCAAAGCCCAACCCAGCCCATCTCGGAGCTGACAAATCGACCTCTATATTTGCTATATTACGACCTTCTACTGATCGCATGAAGTTCAAACTTGGAATATATTTATACGTACTAGTGGGCTTCTACCTCAGGCCCACAGCCCATCGGTGGGCCCTTGTTGGGCTTTGGGCTTTCCGGGCTCTGCAGAGGTCTACTTGTATCCAGTTGATATCAATTGGGTATATGCATGCAATTGGAGGGTGGCTTTAACAGTGAAAAGAAACCACGGATGGCTGAACCACGGACGAAGTTAAGTGCAAGCTTGCGAACTCGGATGATTGACGTGCGTCATGTGGCGTACCCGAAATTGGCGCGGTCATCCGTTCCGGATGCTAAAGTTTAAATTAACCTGCGGGGAAAAAGCTTTAGTCCTCTGTCCTGTGTTAAGTACACGAAAGTAATAGTATATTTAATATTCAAAGCGATGCTAACAATGTTTAGACTTTGTTGACTAGGCTTGGCATGCCGATTCTACCAGGCAGATCGAACCAAATTCTAGGTGCTATGGTCAGATAGATTGAGCATCGGATAATGCGAACTCTCACCAGCTGTTTCCTCCATATGAGCTTGACTGGGCACAAATGTAGACTCCAAAACCTTATTGATGAATTTTGGTTCCTGATCCACAACGGGGCTCAGACAATGCCTTCGTGCAGCTCCGTTCCAACGAACTTATGTAGTCCCACAATGATTTGTCCTTGCTTCTTGTTCATGGGCCAAACTCCCTCGAGATGCCCGAGCTAAGAAAGCTTAGAGTTTCCTACTATTTTAACCGAATCCCGAAGGCAAATATTAGGAGTGATACATCCTTCTTTCCCACTCTTTTTTTTAAGCTGCAGCAATTTCTATTACACCGCGCTTGGTACCAGAGAACTAAAAATGGCTTGTTTATGCATGAGTCCATGACCACGACAATATGCTATATAAGGCCAATAATCTAGACCAGCTAGATGAGTCTAGGCCTAAACTGTGAGATTATATTACTTGGAGCTCAGTTAAGCAGGTTATTCATGAATTAGCGCGGGCTTGGCTAAGGAGGAGCGTGGTGGTTTCCAGTCGTTCCAACCTTGTTACAAATCTCTCAGAGAGCTGCAGGTACATACGTCGAGGGTACACAACGCCTGCATCTACCACACCAATATCTTGTAGCCATTTTCCAAAGTTAATATTAAGTTGCGATCTCGGATGATTGACATGTCATGCTTTACTCCGCATTTGCAGACACCAGATTATTGTTGCACGCTAAATCTCAGTATTCGCTGACGAAAGAATTCAAAGTTCCATTTTCTTTTCAAAGATTCGTATTAATCGAGGACTCAGCTGAACATCCAGGCTATTGTCTAACGGAGGTCTACTAGTCAGGGTAAAAGCCTATCGGCCGGACAAGGATTGCACGATGGAACTAGGGGTAGACTAGGTTCTAACTGCGGCTATGCTAGTAGATGGCCTTACGAAAGCGCTTCTAAGACAGAAGCAGCATCTCTTTAGAGAGCTGATTGGGATGAGAGAGATCAGTTATCTGATCCGAGAAACAGAGGCTGTTTGAAGAGAGTGTAGAAATGAAGGAATTGACAGCTCTTGAAGCTAGGAAAATGTAGGCTTTAAGAACTGGGGGGTATGTCGAATACTAAGTCCGAATATATGGTAAAAACCAGGTAATATACCGGAAACATCATGTGACATTGGGTACCAGGCATACCATACAAAAGTACATATTACAGTTAGTCATCATGGTCCGCACAGATTGTTGAAATAGCGGGTTTAGTCATTTAGTTAGTTAGAGTTGTCAACATTGGTCATTTATACCATACATTGTTCGTACACCAGCTTTCTGTCACTACTCTACCCTTGGGATTGTGGATACAGCGGGCCGGCGCTTATATTATCCCGTCCAGCGCTAGAAGCTTTGATTGGTCTGGCTAGGTCCCCCACCTTTTCACCTCGCTGCCTGGCATGTCCGGCGCCAACATGTTTCTATCTCTGGACCTTATTGTCGTTTCAAGAACTCCCTTTTACTAGAACTCGATAGACTCTCGGTTTACTTCGATTCCGCTACTCTCGAAGACTGGGTCTTCCTATAACCGCCGAGACGCCTGCTTCACCTGTGTTATCTCGAAGATGACGCCCGAGGGGGTTGAAGGCGAGGCCAGCCTCCACGATTCAAGCCACAACACAACAAGGACCATTTACGACTCTAGCTTTTTCAGGGAGCACTGGGCGTCTACGCTCCCTACCCCGGCCGAGGTGAGAGCTATCAACGAGGAGTCAGGCAACATCCGTGGTACAAGGTTCAACCGACCCCCGCCTATCAAGTTTCTATCGTTGGGCCTGATTGTTAAATATGGAGCCGATACAACCGTTATAGAGGCAGAGACCCAACATATAGTATATAAGCAGTTAAAAGGCAAAGTACCAGTCCCCGAGGTGTTTGGGTGGACCGAAGACGGTGGCCAAGTATTTATCTATATGTCTTTGATAGAGGGCGAACCCTTGGAGCAAAGATGGGGTGCTTTGAACGATAAGGAGAGAGAGGCTGTTTGCAAAGAGCTTAAGGGCATGGTTAAGGCCTGGAGATCGTTAGAACTGCCCGACCAAGTCTTTTACGTAGGTAAGTGATTTGAATTCATTGCGGTAGCTAGGTAGAACTATACTAAAGTACCCCTTAGGTGGCCTAGATAACCAACCTCTAAATGATATCTTTCTTTCCGGTCACCGGGACTTGGCTGGCCCATTCTATGGTGCAGACGCCGTCCAGAAATTTCAGGATGGCTGCGATATCGAGATTGATAGGGAGGTACCCGTGGTCTTCACGCATAACGACCTTGTGCCCCCAAATATCCTTTTATCGCCCGGGGCGAATCCAGTAGTAGCTGCTATCATTGACTGGGGCCAGGCAGGGTGGTATCCTGCTTACTGGGAGTATTGCAAGGCGCGTCGCGTTAGGCCGAATCCGGAATATTTTGATGAAGACTTGGATGAAGAATGGAATACGAGATACCTGCCAACTATTTTAGACCCGGTCGATGATGAGACAGTATACCACCCTTGGCTGTGGTTTGTCTTGTCTAAGGGTATCTAGTTATGCGAATGAATATGCTCGTTGGAACTATACAGCCGTTGGTAGATAGAAAATATACCTTACCAATTTTATATGTATTCTAGCCCTTAGGACATAGGCACATATGGTCAGGCCGACTGAGGTAAAAAAAAGAAACCTCATACATACCACACTCATCGCGTATAGCTAGATCAAATATCCATCCTCTCGTCTATTTACGTCACTGGACGGTCGCGGCCATCAGTCAATGGACCTGGAGCCCAGCTAGACCTAGACCAGTGGACGTACGTCCAGCTTAGACTTAGGTCCGTAGCAGACCTGAAACCACAGCCTTCTGACCACCCAAGCCCAAGGTCCCTGTTTCTAAGTCTAGAGTAGTTGCAAGACCGTGGTCTCAAGACCCGCCAGGCGGTTTGTTTCGGCATTACTTATTTTAGATTGCGCCACAATAGCAGGGCGACGGGGGCATCGGCGTCACGCCCACGAAAAGCCAAGTTATAGCAAAATTTCACGTTCAAATATATCAAGTATTCAAGCTAAGAGATTTGCCTCGCTTGGTTTCCTCATAATGCCTTCTTCAGCCTTCTCCAGATCTGTAATTAAAAATGGGGTCGGATAATAGGAGCCCTAGAAAAGTTAGTCTTTGGTCATATGACTCGTGTCTGCCTGCATACTAGTTGTGACCCAAGAAATCCCCAAAATCCCGAGACATCCGCCGACAGGATAAACTTAGGGAAAGCCGGTGTACGAACAATGTATGGTATAAATGACCAATGTTGACAACTCTAACTAAAATGACAAAACCCGCTATTTTAACAATCTGTGCGGACAATGATGACTAACTGTAATATGCACTTTTGTATGGTATGTCTGGTATCCAATGTCACATGATGTTTCCGGTATATTACCTGGTTTCTACCATGTATTCGGACTGGTATTCGACAGAATATAACGATATAGGATATATAGCTAGCTAATATCAAATCAATTACTATACAATTTAACGTATAGGAGCTATATAATCCTAGTAATAAGAAGAAACCGGAGCCGCTAGTAGTACTGAGGAAGGTTATCTCAATTAAAGAAGTATAAGAGAAATATAAAGACTAATAGGTCGATATATTAAAGATACTAGAAACTAGTTAGTAGTAGTATTATTATCAAAGGATGTAGTAGAGAGAAGAGTATAAAGATATACTCCCTAAAAGACGGGAGTTATATAGCCTTTAAAACCCCGAGAACTTTATAACCAGTACTTATATTTACGATAAATAAAGAACCAACGCTATTATAGGATTCGGCTAGAAGTATTAAAGGACTCGGTTAAAAGCCCATTAAAGCGAAAATATAACGATATAAAGGTATAACAAAGATAAGAGAGAAAGGATCTTGGTCCACGTACCGCTCACCGTCGACATGGTGGATCTGCCAATGGATATAATGGGTAATGTTGTCAAGGGAAGAGGTCTGGATTTGATCTGACCCTAGGGTAGACGGTACGATAAATAATGAAACCCTAGATCACTAAAAGTTGCTCGTAAATTTCACTGAAGTAATTTAGTATCTTGAGGGGGACTAGGAGAGGCCCTCAGTTGAATAACAATATCAATATTAGGGTATTCCACTCTGGAACTTCTGTAACTCCTTGTGACGAAGCACATAGTATACAACCTAACTATAAAGCATCATGCACATTGACCCTAGATTTTGACCCTGCTGTCAACGCACATTCATCATCAAAACGGTCATGGCCCCATGCTTCATCATTGACGTTCGGTGCAGGCGTAGGTATCCTTTGCATCCGATAGTTCCTCCCAACGGACGCACCCTTAGAATCCTCCGTACTCCACGAGAACGAACAGCACAGGGCTCGCAGCAAGGGACGCATAGTTGGCAAACAAGCGCAAATAATGCCGACACAAGGCTCGACGAAGGTCCAGGTGGCGGCCTCCATGATAGAATCTAGAATGAACCAGTCAGTTATCGTATCTCCAATGGGGAACTCGAGAAAACACACAGGATATATCATCGTTCTCGAAAATATTAAGCGTAACCACGCGCATGATACTCGCGACACAGACACTGTTCTCTGTAAGTTTGTATTCCGTAGGGGTGGGAGATATATAGACATACAATCCACCGAGAAGGAAGATACCCAGAATGGACAGCTTCTGCGATAGGCGTAGTTGGAGCTGTAAAACCATAGGGATCGGCAATGCTAGGATAACCGCGTCAATGATGAGATTGGATATCGCGTTCCCGAAGAAGAATGGTTTTGGGTTAATGCATGTACCGGAGAGCTGTTTGTTCCAGTTCAAGGCGATCGGACGACATTGAAGGAGGACGGTGATGAAGACGGAAAGACACCATGATAAGACCAGAATGCCAGTGAGTAAACTGGCGAGTTGGAATTTGGGTACGCTGAAGATTCGGCGGTAGAGTAAGAGGATGGACATTTTTATGGTGGGGACAAGAAGGGTGTATGAAATTTCGTTTGCGAAGAAACACTGCGATTGATGTTAGAGTGCATCGGCCATTTGGGTTCGCCCTGATACTCGCTTGTTGGAAGATAACTTTCTCTGCAATGCTTAGCTCACTCATGTGTTTTCCTAGTCCTCCATCTCGGGCCCCTATGAATGATTAGTCGTGAGTGACTTGGCAGTGATATAGGGACCGTACAGAAAATCGCTTCCCCAAGCATGGAATATGCCAGGACAATCGACAGACATATTACATAGTCATCCCATCCTAGGGTTGACTTGGCCGCTCGCGCAGCAACGCGAATGGCAACAACAATCGTGGACAGTACGACGAGCGTAGCGTCTACAGCAATGTATACATTTCCACGGGCATTGGCTCCCATAACGCGGTAAAATGACCCCTGGTGAAGACAAAATGAGCGCTGCACTGTAGATGCAAGAAACCCGACACCCGATGAGCAAGGTGGATGGCAAAAGTTCAAATCCTTAGACGCGACGAAAACCATATATTAACCATCTGAGATACGACTGAGGCTACAGCTACTACTCCTTCGCGCATTTGATAGTCGGGGGCCAAATCGCACGTGAAAAGTTGTTGGATCTGCAGTAGAGTTTTTCACGGTTTCACATTAATCTGCATATTTTTGTCTTAACTAACCAGATGCTTTATGAGGTAATACTCTGCCGGAATTAATATCTAGATATGTATTACTGGCTATTATTGGTTACTTCCTCAATTAGAGTTTGGCGGATCTAGTTCTGTGGAGTTGATAAATTTCAAGATTCAATAGATGATTGGTCTGATTCACTATGAAGCGGGTCTACTCCGTATTCGAAAACTCCGAAGCAGGACCGGCCAAACTCTCACAGCTTCATCCGGCTAAGCTTCCTCAAAGTCACTTTTGAGCGATCTTTAGCACCAACTTGGCAGTCTCTTCAGGCATGCTCAAGAAAGGACTATGGCTCGCTGGGAGTCTCTCCACGTCCACAGTGATTCCCGCCTTCCGCACATTATCGATCATCATATTTTGTACCATTGGGATAAGAGCCGCATCTTTCTCACACACAATATATGTAGTGGGAATGGTCTGATATGCCTCATGCGTGACCGGGTCGAATTGAGCAGATTTTGGGTGCACTACGAGCTTCTTTGCCCAGGCAGCTGCATCCGCAGGAGGAAGGTCATTAAAGAACCAGGTCGCCGGATCAGGGACAGTTAGTAGAGCCCTCTCCTCCTGGACGCAGGGAGTCAGTATATCCCAGCTCAAATAAAAGGGGTTCATACATCAACTGTGACAAAAGGAGGTAAACGTCCTCCAAACATGCCAGCTAGGCTGTTTCCAGCCGGAGGCACAAATGCCGTCATGTATATCAGTTGTTTGATCGCCAGCCCATGCAAGGCCTCCGTGCCGACCATTCCTCCATAGGAATGCATCACCGCAATGACGAGCTTCCCGCTATCGAGGAGTGATTGCGCGGTTTGACGGATGAGTGTCACGTCATCTGCCAATTTCTTTGTTGAGGGTATATCATCGTTGCAGGTTGGAAGGCGAGGACAAATTGTTTCATACCCCAGCTTTTCGAATGCTTTGCAGAAGTTGGCATAGAAGTCCGGGTGGTGCCATGCCCCGTGGATGACAAGGATTGTTGGGTGAATACCGGCTGTAGTCATATTGAGCTGCAACGTCGGCCTCAAAATGGCGCAGATTTAGTGCTAAGCGTCGAGCAGCGGGTATCGCAGACTATTTTATCTCTAGCAAAGTTGGTTTGGTAGGGTGGGGCACCCCTGAAAATCGCATGCCAGCGTCTCCAATCTTGGAAGTGCTTCTCCTGTGACCAAGTGTCGGAGGACCCGAATTTCAATTGATTTGTGTAGGTTTAGGCAGCTGGATTAGAGTGGATTGACGACCGCCTCCAGTTCCGAAAGGCATGCCATTGGCCTTGTTCTAGAGTACTCTGAACTAAGGTCCTCCTAGCCACCTCCAATGGCACTCGCTGGGTCTTACATGCACCATGGTTGTTGGATATTGTAAATTGTTGGAGATGAGGCCAGTAGGACTACTAGAAAGCTAGGAGTGCACTGGAAATCTCTGAATTGCGTTAGGAGAGGAAGAGAAGAGAACTATCTACTGTGCGAGACTAAGTGTACTAGAAGCAAACAGATGAGGTCACGTGACCTGACCTCTAATAATAGTAATTGTGGGGAAAATACAGCCTATTTTACCACTAGACCATAACAAAAACCTCGGTTCCTGTTTAGAGCCTAGGGGGGGCCATATCCCAGTCTGACAGTAATTTCTGTCGAATACCAAATCCAAATACATGGTAGAAACCAGGTATTATACCGAAAATATCATGTGACATTGGGTACCAGCCGTACCATACAAAAGTGTATATTACCGTTAGTCAATCGTGGATCCGTGGACAGATTGTTGAAATAGCGGGTTTTGTCATTTTTAGTTAAGAGTTGTCAACATCAGTCATCCATACCATACATTGTTCGTACGCCAGTTTTCTGTCACAATTCAATGGTTCTTGTTCTCATCGGCCAACGCAACATGGAAAAAAGACGACTACTCAGCTTCCGAGCAGTATTTCCTACTCTATCATTTCCATATAATTCGAACGCGCACTCCGCATTTCGACGTATATTACCAAACAAGCGTGATATGGCTCATCTTCCCTCTCTCTCCAAACCACGCGTCTTCCGTAGTTCAGGTTGGGATATTATCAACCCTTCCCTCCCTATTGAAGAAGAGTCAATCCCTACCTACAGACCCGAAAAATTCTATCCCGTGTATATTGGTGAGGTATTCAACCATCGATATCAAGTACTGGGCAAGTTGGGCTATGGATCCAGTGCAACAGTATGGCTAGGTCGTGATGTATTGTAAGACCAACCGATCTTTACCGCTCGGATTCAAGCTAACAGAGCAGTAATGACCGCTATATAGCATTGAAGATTTATACAGCGTCAACAACAGTGACCCAAGAGATCGAAATTTACAACCACCTCAGAGCTATCCGATCCGACCATGCCGGTCAGACTTGCCTACGAACCTTGATTGAGATCTTTCACATCCATAGTCCAGATGGAAATAGTGTTCATACTTGTCTAGTGCATCCACCCCTTGGGATCAGCTTCGACCAGCTCACTCAGCTACTCCCCGATGGAGTGATGAGCAGCGCCACGGTTGGAACAGAACTACCATCCGCAATGTCCTTGCCGCTCTAGACTTCCTCCATACAGAGGCACGGGTTATACACACCGATTAGTACCAATTCATTTAAAGAAGCCCTCACCCTACGAGGGCTAAAACTAGAAAGTACTAATTCACTACGTAGATCTACAACCAAATAATATTCTCCCCGGCATCAAAGATGACTCTATTCTATCCAAATTCGAACAGGCTGAAATCGACATGCCTGTGCCGCGAAAAATCTTCGAGAATCGCACTATTTACTTCTCACGTCCCCCCCCCCCACCATCTCCTTTGGGATTCCCGTTCTCTGTGATTTGGGCGAGGCTCGATTAGGCACTAATGACCAGGAGGGCGAAATCATGCCAGATATCTATTGGGCGCCAGAGGTCATTTTAAACATGAGTTGGGACTACAAGGTTGACATCTGGAGTGTTGGCATGTTGGTAGGATAAAAGCCTATGCAGTCACTTGCGGCTATGGTGAAACTAACAATGGCTCAGATCTGGGATCTTTTTGAGCATCGCCACCTTTTCAGGGCTCGAAATCCCGCGCGTGAACTTGATGATGGGTATCATCTTGCCGAAATGCAGGCGGCCTTTGAGCCCTTTGTCTACTCCAACCTAGTTGTGTATAGTGACTATGAGCACAAAGATGAGAGGCAACGTGGAATATCTCTCCAAAATTTCCAAAAGCTCACATCCGGCCACCGTGCTGTACGGAAAACCTATATTCGAAAGCTAGATTACAACATCCTCATTTCCTACGAAATTTTAGACTGGACCGCATGCAAAAACTAGAGGAGTCCTAAAGCTTATAGTACAGAAAACCCTATCCGAAAGGAGAATGATCTAGCTTTTCAGACGGCTATGGTTAGCCTTTTCTAAGAGCTTTATGTATGGGACCAGAGGAGTTACCATCTGAGATTAAATCTGGCCATTCGAGGTCGTCAGCAAGGTCCTACACCGGAACCACGTACTCGACACTCGGAAATTGCCGCTAAGTATCGTTGGGATTATAGAGATGGACGCATATCATCAATTCCCCCATATAGGGCGCGGTTCCTTAAGGATATGTCAGATCTACCATCTATTCCGTGCATTGAGAAGCTCTCTTTTCTAAATTATAGTCTATCCTGGGGCGCTCATCATCAAATCTAGACTAGTGCAGTGCAGACTATAGTTTAACGTTGTACGAATATCGCTGAATTGAAGCTAAATCTTCATGAATTCGTCCTTCCAGACCACTTAGAGTATATATAGGCACGTCGCGAAGGTAAGCTATACCCTTTTTATCATAAACTTCTATTTACTAATAGCTATATAGCGTTGTCTTCTCTGATCGGTTCTATTCCAAAAAGCCTTAGAGTGTTACTCTATCAAGGATATAATGATTCCCCGTAGAAATCGATTATGTCCCCGCTCAATATCATCCCTTCTAGGGTTAATAGTGTGAGCTCCAATTTACGAGATCTTAGTATTCACCTTTAGCAATTAAAGTTGGTATACACTACTATCGCATATGACCTTTTGTGTCCTTTGGATGAGAAAGGCCAGCCTAAACCAGGTTATTTACACTTGAACTGGCCCTACTTAGAGACACTAGAGCTTTAATCTATACCACCTTGGCTTCCTTCAGGTAAGAAAGCAATAATGAAAATGAAAAGTATACCTAAGGCGTCTAATAACCAAGGAATCAATAGGAGAACCAACTTATCGCACGCTGGAAGCCCGGATCGAAATCGACGAGATTGAAGATTGGGAAGAGGTGATAGATGTGAAAGCGGGATGGGGCGATCCGGAATTACGGACTGAAGAACACTTCTATCGACTTCTTATATCGCTCGGCTATGCGGCCCGACGTATGCCCCGTTTAAAGAACGTGAAAATCAAAGTGGAAAGCCAAAATCCGTTTACCCTCTATCTTCGGAATAAGGCGGACCAGATTACTCTAGAATGGGAGTGTTATCCCCCATATCGGCCAGATACTCGGGTGGCAAAGGCGTGGAATTTTGACCTAAATGTTGTGGAAACTTACCCTAGATGGGAGGATCTTTCTTTTGTGATACTTCCGACCTGGCGGCCCAATACCTCTATCTAGGCAGCTAGATCAAGACTTAGGGATTGCAAAGGAAACTATATCATCTGTCGCCAAACATGGTGTACAGGACGTGCCACTGTAGATCCGTTTTGGGGAGGAAGGGGGGCTTCAAGAGTCTCTTCTGATCTAAACAAGTAATTCCCTATGATGGAACCGTTTACTACAAAGTTGGCCATATTTCGAGAATTGCATGGCCTACTATGTTTCGTAATTTAAATATTATCTTCCACTGCCCTCCAATACTTTTAGGGATTCTACATACAGTGCAGTAGTATGGATTCCCAAATAGATTTGTGTCAGTGGGTATATTACCACTAGAGCCTGTTTTGTATAGTGTTCATGTGAGTTTGAAACAAACAACAGCACCCGAACAGAGCTGTCGGCGAAACAGATTCAAAGTTCCCTCACTCTCCAGGGTACCTTGTGTTACCCTGCCGTCTGATCTCATCCATGATATCCATCATATATAGTGTTTCAGCCCACGGCATGATCCTACTCTCTTTCCGGCCTTCAAGAATATCAAGTGCCGTTTGTTCAGCCTCATGGACAAAACCACGTCCCAGGGTCGGAAACTCATATTTCTTCCCTTGACACATCTCCCTAGGGAAATATGCACGATCAGGATTCCCGTCCTGCTTCGTCCACACAGTAAAAGATTCCGGCGCAGATGGCGTCCTACCTTCTACCTCAATGTACCCATTGGTCCCGTGTATAACAGCAAAGACTTCACCAGGAGCACCGAGGGCTTTGGTGGTTGAAGTAACGATACCCTGCTTTCCAGTCGATGGATATTGCAAAACCACACTGGTGGTCACTTCAATCCCTTCTTCATGGGTTTGCGCAGCCAGAATCCGCGGCATCTCTGTCTGATCGGGTGTATTCCCACCCAGCGCCAATCTCGCCCAGGTAAGTGAATACACCCCAATATCCAACAATGACCCCGCTCCCAATGTGAGATTCCGGTATCGGGATGTGGATGGGAGTGAGGCAACATCAACACCAGACGCGAAATCTGAGAACACGCGGAAGACATCCCCAATGGCCTTCTCTTCGTGGAGCAATCGCTGGAGTTCGATAAAAAGTGGTCGATGTCGGAGCCACATGGCTTCTGCCACGTATACATTGTTTTCGTGGGCAGCATTGAATATCTCCCTTGACTGTTTGGCATTCAGGGTGAAAGATTTCTCGCACAAGACATTCTTCCCTGCAGAGATCGCCTCCATGCAATCGCGATAATGGAACCCGTGCGGGGTTCCGATATATACAATATCCACCTCTGCATCGCGATAGACTTCTTCATAAGAGCTGTAGACCTTTGGGCTTTGTTTCGGGCAGTACTTTGTCGCAAATTCCTGGCCCTTTTCAATGTTTGAAGTGCCAATAGCTTGGACAACATGCTCTACTTTCCCTTTCCCTTCTGGCCACTCCAAAACCAAATCCTGCACAAACCATGAGGATATCATGCCAGTAGCTTATGGAAAGCGTTAGCTTAGCACATATCAACTATCAACCTCGGAAGTCCAAGAGCCTTCAGGAATAAGTTCAGACTTACCAATGATACCCCAACGAACCTGGGGGAGATTAGACATAGTTTCTATGTTCAACAGATTGCAAGAAATAATGTATATTACATTCCAGTATTCTAGTAGATGAAAATAGACGAGATTTACCTAATTGTTCTGGGGTCTTACACAACTCTTTTATCGAAATTCTGTAGTCGAATCTGGAAACCCAAACCCGAAGCTCTCTTGTCATTCAATCAAATACGTAGGGCTATCAGAAGAACTGAGCTCGTCTCTTGCCCGAACTGCCGTGAACCCCTCATCTTCGGGCGTTAGTGTATAAAAATCTCGGGAACCAGAATCCGCGTTTAGAACGGAAAACAACCAAATAGTTTTTGTTTTCAGCGAATTTGTCTTTAACTACATTGTAAATTTATAGCAAGCATACATACGCACCTCGTATTTCAGATTAGAACATGATTGACATTTATTTTGGGTCTATTTTGATACCACTGAGCAGCTCTTAGATCCCGTACCAAAATATATTAAAAAAATAGAGATAAAGCGCAACAAAACAGTAATTATCTACCCATACGTACTACTAGAGACATTAAAAATTCTCTACTCACCAGGGAACCAAGGCTCGACCCCGAGCTTGATGATATAAACCCCGTGAACAATCGCTTCGGGCGGCACATTAAGCATCCACCTCCAGAGATCCTCCAGAGCATCTTGATCACGCTTCTTCTCCTGGTGGTTAACAGCATAGAGCTTATACGTATCAAGGCTGTTAGGCGGCTGAATCCACATTATACGGACTGGCGAGGGAGGAACATCTAAAGTGCGCGAAGTATTTCCTTGGATTTCAAAGCTCTTAGCGAACTGTCTCCACTGTGGGCGCCACACCTCAAATGTATCTCTCCAACCTGGATCAATACCGCTATCTGCAAGAAGAGCGCACATGCTCCATACCAAGTGTGCAGCACCGACATACTTCTCGAGGTAACCGACAAGACCGGGCTGAACCCCGTTTTCGCGGTGGAGCTGGAAACGGAACTGGTTAAGGCTGGTTCCAGGTGCAGCGTCTGGGAATATACAAAGGAGACTGCCAGGAGGAGATCCGGTTCGCTCCGATTGACGGAGAATGTCATCCTCGGGCTCGAACGCTTCCGCTGCCTCGAGCGGGAAGCGTTGAGCCTGCTTTTTACCCTTGCCACGCTTCCAACCCCCCATGATTATTGAGAATTATTAGGCAGTATAAGAAGAGAGCTGGTGACCTGGTTAGTCAAAGGTGAACGTTAATGAGATATAATATCTGAGGTGAATAGGACGGTTTATATAGCCACCAAGGACTATTCACTTTGATATTTTGAGTGTCGACACTGTATTTGATCTCAAAGATGCTCTTTATTGTCTTTGTATCTACCAAGAAAGCAAATTTGCATCTCAAGCGCACAATGCCTTTGTATACAAGGGATGTTCCTCTTTGTTCGCTCCAATAAAGTATACCAAGTCTTATGAGATAACACAAAGAGACTCTTTGTACCTTGCTAGCTTGGTTTATATCTGGAGGTGGATTGTTAAGACAGAGAGGGTGCTCCTGTTGGCTCTAATAGGGATTGAGCCTGGGACCATAGAAATCCTCAGGTTTTCGACCCTCTTTCTGCTTTAACGATTCAGAGTACATTTAGTCCTTGAGGAAACACAAAACGAGGTCGCAAAAATTTGGCTAGAAGTGCAGATCATGCTACAAATCCACATATTACTGTGGGGATGCAATGGTTTACTAATTTATTTAATGTTCTATAGCTACATCTCTAAAAACTAAACGGGCATTTGTAGGCGAGGTCTAAGATGGCATTTATACAATTGTTACAAGATATAACTATTGGAGAGCCGCCATCTATCACCATCCATGGGTTGGTACAGAAAATAGAAGTGACGTTGACATAGACATGCTAGCTAATGCCTTTCGATACACATCTTCCCACAAGGTTCCCTTGATAAGCAACTCATTGATACAGTTGAGTAGCAAGAATATGGAAGGATGTATGATCAAAGAAACCTCAAATCCACAAGTTATATCAGACAATCCTAAGGTGTTTTTGATAGAGATCATATGGTCCAGCCATCATCTGCCGAGTACTCATCAGTAGGCTAGGTCGTAGACAAGGATACTAAATGCCATTGCAAGATATTGCCATAATCTATTCCACACACTCGCAGTATGAAGCGTTCAGTGCCCGTTAGTAGACCGCACATGGCCGCTTTTCCAGTGAGTGCCGAGATAATTCGGATATTACTGATCGCCTCGACGGTAATGGCTGTCACCTTTGCGCGTGGGGGTTGAGTACCGGTTCAACAATTGTCGAGTACGGAGTATAGGGGAAAGAGTCATATACCGGCAAGGAAATAAACATACAAACATGAATTTTCAAAATAAAATATGGAACAAGAACCTATGTACACCGGAAATCCCACGGCCTGACACGCCACCACGCTACCGAGGGTAATTAAACACATACACATGTAGTCCTAAGCGGATAAAAAAGAAACAATTACTGGGTCCGCCGGGCCATGAAGTAGGTTAGGAGGTTAAGGGATCCTTCACGAGGAGGCTGAGTGACCTTTTGCACTCGCTCGGATCCAAAGGTGATATTCAAGAATGTGCAGAGCTCAGTGGCGTTCTTCCTGACACCGGGGCGGGGGTGTCCGAGCTGCTGCATCACCACAGCACCGATCCGAGCCAGAAGCTCGTCGTCGATATCAGCACCGGGACGCGATAGCGACTGCTGGATAGTACTCAGGCCCATGATAGTGGACCGGTACGTCTCATCATTCTCTGCGTCTGCTCCAAGATCCAATCCCTGCAGAACACCGACGATCGCCGTCTGGGGCAAGGTCAAAAACACCAGTTTGTCTGCCACTTCCTCTAAGCAAGTGACAAAGTGAGAAGTGGACTCGTAGTGGCGGCGGGCACGGATAATAGCTGCCATAGCACGAGTGTCATAGGGGTGGAAATGCTCGCGGGTCCGTAAGAGCATGGAACGGATAGTGGCCAAAACCTGGGTTTTCACGTCATGATCCTTGCGGCTGGAAGGAGTCGTTTCCAGTTCTGCAAATAGAGCTTCCAGCAATGCATCGTAGTCCTGGCTTTGGGACACAATCTCATCGCCGTGGTATTGGATGAGTCCCTGTAGCTTCCGATATCCCGAGGGCTCCATGGTTCTCGAGACAATACGAGCGAGGCCTTTATGGATCATTTCCTTAGCATTGGCCGGGTCTTTCGAACGAGGGCTAGGGCTGCGGTGACGATCAACCCATTTTCGGGTGCGTCGTGTGGAATCTTCAGACATTGTTGATTGGGACAACGTCGACTGGGAGAGTGATGGAGGTATCGACTCAAATGATCTCTGTCTCGCTTCTGGCAAACGCGGTGTAGGTTCGTTTGCCGTCACTTCTTCGAGGACACTCGGCTTAGCTGCAGACCGCGGGACT